GGTCTGAGCTCCAGTGCTGCAGGCACAGACTGGTTGGGCAGCTTCTCCCAGAGCAGCGTGAGAGCTCTGCCCGTGCCTCGGGAGAAGGGAATCAGCTGATGTAACCCACACAGGCACTGCAGAGCTTCACCACGTCCAGTCTTGTCCCTGCCTCTTCTGCACCACACCCTCCCCAGCTCCTGTGCAGAAAAAGTTTTTCTCATGAGGAGTCCCTACTTCAGCTCATCTTCTAGAGCAAATTATCTGTTCATTTAAGGCTTTCACCAGTAGCACTTGGTACTCAGAGAAACCACACCAGGCACCAAGTGTTCACAAAAACGTGTCTGCAAGGCCCCAGTTTTGCTCTGCAATCTTACTGAGGCGTCTTAGACCCAAACACCATGACTGTTCTCTTTGTGCTCTCCAAGAGCATCAGAAAATAAGATTCAGAAGAATATGAGGTGTMGTTTCCTTACTATGGGCAGCACAATACTTGTTTTGGTTTTGTTACTTTGCCCAGGATTTGGCCTTGGTCATAGCGTGTTTGTTTTCACTTAATAAAACATAACCAAACTATGCAATAACTAAAGCTGGTTCTCAGAGCCCTGCTAAAAATTCCCCACGCAGTTGGCTGGGTGGGATTTAAAACTCTGCCCTATTCTTAGAAGTGCGTATCTGCAGCAGTTGGAAAATGCTGGGCTGCAAGCAACGCATTCCACAACATGTTTAAGGCACAGATCCTGAGTATTTGAGATTCTCTGTGCGTTTGTTTCAGTTTACATTAAAAAAATAAGAAAAAAAGAAAAAAGGAGAAAAAAAAAAACCACAAAGCAAGCACAGTCCTATCACTTATCTAGACACCTGAACACTTTCTATTAAGAGTCTCACCTTTAATACCACCACTGTAATTACACTTAAACTACTCATTGCAATGTGATYTTTAAATGAGGCACAACAGAGTGATAAAGGTGCTTTGGAAAGCCTCCCACAACCAGAGGTTCATAAAATACACAAGACTAAGAACTGACAAATCTGGGAACATGAAAAAGGCTACACAAAACATGATTAACTGATTAAAAAATAATCAGTATACTTCAACAAAGTTCACTGTGTAATTTTAGAAAATAAGGGCAAGATGGTCCATATTTAGCACAATAACACGTTGAGCTGGGTTCAACTATTCACATACGATACACAGAAGAGACACCTAAGCCCATGCTGCATTCTAAAACCTCTCAGTAGCATTAAAAGATGTCTGAACAGCAGATGTACTATAAAATACAATTTTAAAAAATCAATGTGTTAAAAGAAAACTGAAGATAATGACAATTAGCTGTTTCTTTAGTTTGAGTTTAGAGAATTAATATATTTATAGTTATGAATAGCACAGGAAGGGAGTTGTACCAACTGAAACATAATAGTCCAAGGCTTTTCCTCCCAGAGATTCAGGGGATGCATCTACTCAAACAATTAAATTAGGTAGAATTCAGCTTCATAAAACTGAATAAATCTGAGATATTTGGATGTTGTTTTGCTTCAGTGAAAGGACCCCGGAAATTCATTATGTTAAAAGACCTGCCTAATAGAGCATTACTTAACCAAAATTGGCCTTCAAAGCAAAATTAAATCCCCCTTGAGAGCTCACAGATGTTTTGTTATGAACTTCCTCTGAGATCCTAAAGTGTATAAAAACTTMAATGTATAATTTGATGGAGGGACATGAGGCTTATTTAGATTTTCAAATTTCTATTTCTCGTTGCTTTATTTTCCACCTGTAAAATGCAAAATAGTGGCTCYAGCTGGAGAAGAGACTGTCTCTCAATCAATTGAGGCAATGCTGATAATAGACTTTTGGGTCAATTGACAGGATGGCTGCAGTAAATATTTTTAATACAAGACCTTCAATGAAATTTATCTCCTCTCCATTCCTGCTGTCAGAGATTCAAGGCTACATGCAGACAAATGCAGAGGCAGTACATTTGCTCATTGTAATGGTATAGAATTCCCTTTTGTACTGAGTCCAAAACACCTTTTAATGTTTTAAATACAGTTACCAAAGGCAGCTCATCACAAAGCAAAATTATCAAACTAGTTACAATGCACAAAGTGTGAATTCATGAACTCAGTAACCACTCCTTCCAGAAAGTATAGGCTATGTTTTCAGCTGATAACAATCTAATCAACTCCATTCACTTCAAACTCACTTTTTGAAAAAGTGAAAGCCTCTTTCTTCTTACCTTAAATGCAATGTTTCTTCTCAGAGGCAATTGTTAGCAACTACAATAATCTATATCTCKCTGTACCTTAGGTTAATTATGTGTTTCAAAAGAAATCCCAGTATAACAAGCAACTGTAGAACTGAGGATGGCTTTGTATGTAGAGTATGGTCAGGGAAAGCTTCAACAGTTCTGAAGATTATTCCAGGACTCAGATATTATTCCAGAAATGAACAGAACTTGCATTTACAGCAGTGAAAGTGCTTCTAGAGTCCTCCTAGATTTTGGTTCATGAGACTGCATTCTTCTAAATTCCCAACCACTTTTCTGTAAAACTTCATGATGCAACTCTTTCACTTTGTGCTGTAGATTTTCATTGTTACTCCTAAATTAGGCACACAGTGCAAAATGGAAACKAACAAAGAAATAAGTGAAGCCAAACAATCCAACCTGTATGACTCATTATATGATACACAAACATTTTCTGCATCACTCCGAGAATCTGTTCTACCAAAAGAAAAATAAACCTTTTCTTAAAGTTGCAGAATAGGTAGATAGTTTCTTCTGGATATGTTTCTGGCAGGCAAGTTCTGAGAAACYTTATTCCAAGAAACCTGCAGACTGAAAACACAGCTGTTCAGATTCACTGATCTAACCCTTACTCCATGGATACTCCTATTGGTAAGGCAGGCTTATGGGGCAGACAAAATGACAGCTGGTCCATTTCTTCTCTGGCACATAAATCCCATTTAGAATAGGATTAAGAAAACTGGAAAACAACCTATTGACTGAACAAAAAATCCTGCCTAGCTAGGGGATATATATAAGTCAAACAATTTAAAATATTTAAAGTGGGTTTTAAATACTTTCTTAATAATGATCGCCTAAAAACAGAAGCAACATTCTAGAAACCTACTTCAGATTATCTCAATTTACTGGTATGGATTACTTTTCAGACTAGTTATAGTCTGTAACTATATAACATCCAAAAGTAGAATTTTTTAAAGCATTTAAATAACATCTGAGCATAAATTTGGGAGAATACTTTAGATCATAAAAATTCAAAGCAATGCAATCCTATTGATTTTAATTTGGTCTCGAAATACAGATCTCATTCTGCCACCCATTGAGAATAGATCCCATTTACATCAGAGTATAGATTCTGGTGCAAAACAGATGCAATCATTGTGTCCTTATTTCCAATGTAATCATTTGTTGCTTTGATTTTTTTTTAAACATTCTGAATTCCACATACAAACTCAAATTTTACAATGAACTTCAGAGAAGACAAAAATGGAATAAGTTGGTTTGAGTTTTTTTCAGATTTTGGTAAAACAGGCTATACAAACTTATGGAAGTTTAAACAGAAAGACTGTGTCTCTTGGCTTCTTCAGCAGCAATACATTTATTTYCACAGGGTGGCTGAATTTATTCTCAAATCCATAAGCCAAACACGTTTAAATTCCCATGTAATTTGTCTCTTGATACACCTCAATATACTCGCCTTTGAACTTTGCATTTGCTTTTATATRGTAATTTTAAAATTTCAGGTGCTGACCAAAAGAAACATATAATAATATTTTAAAAAATAGAAATAACATCTTGACTGAAGAATAAAATTKGGATCTTTGTAAGTTTGAACAAAACCTCAGGGTCGATCAGAGTATAAACAAAACATTAATGAATCCTTAATCCCAGTGGAGGGGGGAAATCTGCTCATATATACAGAACAGTGATAACATACAAGAAAGGGGGAAATTGAAATTAAATATTAATTTCTATTGAATTATGAGGTTGTAATTTCACCATCAAGGGTTCAGCTCTGTAGCATCTTAGAATTTGCTAATAATGAGCTTGTTTTACCACTAAGATTCAGGTCACTATACAGACATGTAAAATAAACCCTCTCACCAAATCCTGCTGAGTTTGGTCATGTCAGTGAATTAGCAATAAAAACCCAAACACACTGACTATTCTGCTGGTGTCCTTAAAAAGACTCCAGTTACGTGACACTGAAGGTAACTAAGGGATTCCAGATTCACATTACATCTTTATGCTGTTTGGTTTGCTTAGATTTTTTTCCACAACTGGATTTGACTAAGGCAGTTCCACTTGTTCTGCAAGTTTCCCAGATTGATTTTGGACGGCTGACTCTCDCTCAGGTAAATGGAAAGGTCAGAATGCGCCGTCCCTTGAGGCACAGAATGCTGCTTTCAGCARAAGTCCGCAGCAAGTCAGCTGAATAAAAATCCAGCATGAGAGCCACTAGCATTTTAGATTCATCTCGGTAACACTGCAACGATGATCCTGAAATCCTTACTTAGACAAAGCTTCCCCTGAGTCCCAGATAGCTGACCAGTAATTGCACAGATTAACACTTGCATTTAATGAAAGACCTGGCTGCTTAAAGTTTATCTTACTTTAGGTTAGCAGTCTTAAACTCTTCCAGCTATGAGTACAGCTTTTCTAAAAATTTTATCTACCAAACTAAATTGAAACTGCCATCTCAAAATAAATCTATGCCTCCTACAATGCTAATATTACAACAGATTAAAACATACAGGTGAAATAAGATTCATAATTTAAATAATAAATTTTATAAGTTTAAATAAACTTAATAAGTTGAAAATACCTGTTTATTACCAAAAGCATAGAAAAAGAGAGGAAAGAGAAATAGGAACATAATAAAAGTTTACTTTGACTATGGTCCTGTAAGAGCCTGTTTTGGGCATTTAACAGTTAAAGAAGCAATGGCACGCTAACCGAGCACATTAAAACAAAGAGTTGGCAGCTCCTGAAGGAAAAGAGCTTGTGTTCCACTGTTCCAACTTGTCAGTCAACTCATGCCAGCACTCTCCTTGTCTGCCTCTCCTCCACACCCTCATTACATGTGTCTGTCTGGACTGATCTGCTCATCTGTTCAGGGACTCTTCTGACAAGTCAAAAATTCTGCCTTCTTTCTGCTCTGGAATTGGATCAAATCACTTCAGCTTTTTTTTTTTTTTTTGTAGCCCACCAGGAGGCTTTCTGCTTATGGTCTCATTCTGTTTGCTTTACTACCTGTCTGTTTTTGATTTGTAGAATGGAGGAAGCCGAATTGCTGAAAGAAAGATTCCAGGCCATAACAGTAAGTACGGTTATAATTCGCTATTTAAAAAAAAAAAAAAAAAGGGCTTAGAAGTGATATTGCTAATGAGCTGCTGTGTGTTTGCTGAATAATGATTTATCCCAGGACAGAAAAAGAAAAGGCTTTATGTCTGGTTGAAAACGTTACTATAATTCTGGTTTATAAGCTATTGTTTTAAGACAGCTAAGTTTACTGTACTGACTTTATTAGGGGTTGCATTGCACTTTAAATTCAAAGTAGTGAAAGTATGTGTGCAAATCACTACTGCACAGTCTAAAATACACATTRCTGTTATCATACTGAATGTTTGCCTGAAGGTCAAAAGACAGCTAGAGAACTCCAGAACAAATCAATTTTCACRTTTCACAATGTGAGATTAAAGATTTTTAGCTTTTATTGTGGAATTAAATACAATTTCTCAATTATTTATGATCTGTCATAAGTAGTGCTGTCTGAAAAGTTAAAAAGGACAARCTTGGATTAGGCAAATTCCTACCTGTCAGTTTTCAGAGGAAGGACTCAGTGAAGTTTATGCCAAAGATGTTAAAAAACATTATCAGTTTCTCTTCTAAAAGGAAATCCAAGTGATTATTAATAGTGTGTAAAAGGAACAACTGAACTATTTTTAAAGTAATACAACTTGATGTAATAAAAAATGGCTGAATCCAAATTGTTCTCTGCTTTGATCTCCACTRAAACTTATTCAGTTACAAAAGATGTAAACTGAAACAAAATTTGGCCCTCTGAGATGAAAAGGAAACCTCCAAAAGGATCACTCACTCTCTCAGGCATTAGTTAAAAACAAATAATGAAAACAAAAGTATTTAGCACACCCTTAATATGACAGATTAGCAGTGAAACAAACACTACTGCCAGAATGAATGTTAGGSAGAGTTAAAAACTACATAATTGGAATCAAAATAAATTTGAGGAGGCATAACTGGAAATCTACAGGAATGTAATAAGTTGGGCTCTAATTTAGTTGAGCTTTAATTGTGACGCTTGATAAAAGGCAACAATACCATTTATGGTATTTACTTGAGACCTGACACAATCAGGTAATTTGAAATGTTTTAGAGGGTTTAGAGTGTATTTGTTTAACTGCAATGTTGTTTGAACCAGGGTCATAACCTGGACTTTGTGTCTCATGTATGGGCTCAAAAGATAACAAATGTCATCGGTACTCCAGAGGAGCCCAGGCCTCGCAATGTTTGACACTCCCTGGRATCTAGGAGAGGGAATAGGGAACAAGGAGAGGGAATGGGGCARCAGGCTTTTCTGATGAGGATTCCTATGAATACACTCAGGTTGGAGTCCTCCAGCTGCACCTTTGCTTCCAGATGAATACTAAGAAGTATTTTTTTTAAGAAACAGGGGCAGCTTCCAGTATCTTCCATTAGAAGAAATCAGAAATCATCGTTGGGTTCTGGCTGTGGCTTCATSATTGCACTTGCTGTGTAAAGGAGCTATTTGCTCTCTACTTTCATCAATTAAGAGCTTTTAATTGAAACACAGTGTTCTGACAGCAGAAATAAAATAGCCTGAATAAGGTGAAGTTATCAGCCTTAACCGTGTGCAGTATGAGCTGCCTAGAAAAACAACACTCTGCAGTTACAATAGCAAGATACTCAGTGGCTCTGGGAAGGGTTGTCTCAAGGAACTYACCTGGGAATTTCAAGTGCTACCTACCAGATGTTCACTGCAAAGGATCTAACACAGGACAGCAAGGGGTACTCAGAGCAGTAAACAACAGCACCTGCACTAAATCTTATTGGTTTCTGTTGGCAAATGCCTGGCTCCTTGACAGCAAAAGGCTCCCACAGAGCCAGTGGGAGCTTTCAAACTCTTTTTCAAATCTTCTCCAGGTAGCAAACAAATAAGGAAAGCATGATTATTGTTGTTGGTCATGATGTGATTGTTATGAAATACTTTCGTGCTCTCACGGCTCTGAAAAGGAAACTTTTTGTTTTAGTATGTAGCTAACACCTGCTGCTGGTGTATATAGAATATAAAAAGTAAAAAAAGTCAAAAGCCTCCATTTTTTAGCAAGATTTTCATACCTTAAAATAGGAAAGCTTTAATATTTTTGATGCTAAATGTGTTTTRATYTCTGGGAAATTATATGAAAAGAAAAATGCATTAGGTAAAACATTAGTTGCTCCATGGAATTTAACACTGTGTGGCATTTGCCGGATTTGCTCAGGGACCAAGACCACTGCCTTTGGCACCACTATAGAACACTGACACAAACTAACAAGATACTTCACAAGACACCCCTCCGCTGGTACAATTCTCTTTCTTTCAGACAGATCTAGTTTAGAACACAGTCCATTTCTATGCACAAAAGTCAGCAGAGASTCCCACATGTAGGAGTGAAAATTAACACCAAGGCTCAAGTGCTACTTTTCATTGATTCACAACAGAAAGAAATGGCTGAAGATGCTCTTTCATAAAAAKCAAATCCTGCTCTCATTAAAAAGAGCATAGTAAGAGAGGATTYAGGGACTTCTGCCAGCAACATGATTATCTGCAGGGGCAGAGCAYGAGGTTTGGTGGAAGCATGGGTTCCGTAGCTATCCAGGAATAAACATTTATTCTATCAGATGTACAGTCAAAGCTTCATAAAGCAAAACATGACGTGCAGACAAAGCATAGCAGAATACACTGCAGAAAGCAGAAACAGGTTTTCAAAGTTTTTTTGGCACACAAGGTTCAAAAAGATTCCTGATACTTCCTAACTCCTGGAATTAGACTAGACTATATCTATAAAATATATAGACTAGATATATAAAAGACAATCTATTTCAACCTATTTAATCTGGATAATTGTATAATGAATATTTAATAYCAACCAGTGAAATTAAAACATGCTAAAACACCAAGGGATAAAAGTAGAAAACTTTCAGAGAAAAAGCATTGGATATAAAACAAACATTGCCCTTTAAAAAAAGAAAGGCAAATTTTTTTTTACTGAATAGATTCCTTATTACACAGTCTAAAATGCACTAATTTATACATTTATACTCAGATTTCCTTCTGCATAGTAGTTTATGTACAAATACTCATTTCAGCCTGCCTAAATTCTTATTACATCTCCACTATTACAAAAAGAATATTCAAATTGACTTAGAATATTTTTAATAGTATAAACCAGATAAAAGCTTGCTCTCTGGCTAAGAATCTTTTCCAGAACTTTAGTAAAGACAAAAAAAAATGTTTCCTTAAGACTTGTAATAATCTGTAAACACAAGCTCTTGTAACACTGCTCATCTAATGATGGGTAGTTTAAAGGCCATTTATACAATGAGATCAGGAAAATTTCCAAAGTAAGAAAAAGTGTGAAGAACAGAGACCAGATATTATATCTTCAAAATCAGGACTGGCCAAGAAAAATCAAGCACAGAAGCTCTTGGATAAAGTCTGACAAGGGACAACGGCAGAAAAATTACATACTGTAATGATCCTGAATCAGTAACTTTGTTAATTTTTTAAAGATCATTGGCAAAACACAAAACCACTGCAGAGGTGAAAATAGCATGGTGAAATGAAAATTGCATCTTTGAGGCAAGAGGCCCACCTATTCTGTTTGGAATATTAAAAAAGMAAATTAACATCATCAAGGAAAAATTATAAAGTGTTTATAGATAACTACTATACTTTGCAGACTGCAAGAGATCAGTGATACCCTGATGTTCACCCACGAAAYCCCAGCATAGTATCAGTAGTGCCTGGCCAGCCTGTATCCTGCCCTCAGTCCATAAATCTAGGRGGTTTCTTCCTCTTCCTATCCTTCAGCAGTCCTTAGAGCCTGTGATCCCACTGCTAATTTCTAATTTCCAGTAACAGTGAAGTGATTCAGCCAAGCACACCCCATTCTTCCTGTTTCCAAATCTCAGATCCTAGGGAAAAGGTGGAGAACAACTCCCARTCTGATGTCCAGCACTTCCTTACTRACTTTTTACAGTCCTTACCCACAGCTGGTTCCTCAGGTGGGCTGAAAGAGCAAGGCTCTTCCTCTGTGAAGAAGTTAACTCCTTCCTAAACCACATTTATCTGAAAACAGACTCTTTWAAAAAAAAATCTATCACTTTTTAAACACAACCAAGCTGTTCYAATTGAAAGGAAAGAGGAATTAACCTCCAGTCAGCAAACACTTCTGCAAACAGGACRATAGGAGACTCCATCTACTTCCCTAAAATGTATCAAGAAACAAGTACAAAATATGCCATGCCCTATAACAGAATTTCGTAGCATTAAGGCTGACCAAGAGAATAGCCTATTAATACACCTTATTAAAGTTACTTTCCTTTGGCATGATTTCTTTCCCACTGGCTGCTGAGGACACAAGGTACTAAAACAGCRTTTGGCCTCACACTGAGGAGCCACAAGGTTATTCCACGTGACAGTGTTGTCCAAAAACAGGAGAGGCTCAAGTGCKGCCAGTATTCAGATATTGTTCACCCATTTACATTTTCCTCTAATTTGTAATCAAAAGGATAAAGGTGGCACTATGATAGACCAGCAATACTTGAGGTTTTTCCTTCTAAAGATCAGCAGGCTGAAAACAAGTGCACAGGCATTTTTTTTTAATTGAGAAGTAGCAACAACATATATGAAGTATATTGTATTTCTCTTTCTCATCTTTACCATTATCTAATGAAATAAATTCCTGTCTTTGTTTATTCCTGTTTATTTCAGCTATTAGCCACAGGATACATAAACTCAATGCTGGATTCACCGACAGCCCATTTCATTTAGTGATGTATCACAGCTGCTCAGTGTAGGCCATGCAGACTTTCCTCTCCTAAACCATGTGTGGGTTGCCTTAAGGATTTTGGTCAGGACCCATTTTTAGTCTCACTCTGCATGTACAATTCCACTCAAATACACTTCCTTCCTGTTTTCAACCCCTACCCTTCCAAAGGCTAAATTTTTATTTTGCATCATCCCTCCTTTGTGGTCATTAACACRTTTAAATGCACTTTGGAGAAAGAGCAGTGGAGAGCATACCTATGTAGGACCAAATTGTTGCTGCAAAAAATTATGCACTGCCTAAGCACCACATAAACTTTAAAATAGGATTTTATTTGCATGGATTGATTTCACCCTACTCAACAACACTTATATAATAATTTCATTAACAAGTAATTTCTCTAAACAAATTTTTACTGYTCTTAATGTGTAGGACAAAAGAAAACTGCAAGAAGAAATTACACAGAAACGTCTAAAAGTAGAAGAGGAGAAAATGAAACACCAACATTTAAAGGTAAGTAAAGTATCAGATTTATGTAACTAAAGATAGCCTCAAGTCATACAGCATGAATAAAGGTTTGGGATTTTGGAATGCAAATCTTCATGAATTTAAGTCATGCTTTTACTGTCAAATTTTCACAGCTTTTTGGAGTCTTGCCAGGACTCCATTTGAYTTTAATAAGCATCACTCTTTGAAAAAAATTACACTGTGGAGCTAATGTTACTTGATCACTTTCACAGCATAAAATGAGATCATAACCAGGAAAAACTCACAGATGAAAATTAAGCCTCACATTTCAGACTGGGTGTGTTCACTCCCTAATCCCACAACAGCAACCTCACTTCATACAGGGTGCAGCACAATCATGAGGTCTAATCACACTTCTTTTTCTAGAAAAAAAACAACCAGCCTATTTTTATTTGGCTATAGGCTTTTGTCAGCTTGTTTAATTATTCTTTAGTAAAATAATGCTGTTTCTTTGTATATTTTTTTWAAAGTATAATTGTTACAAATATTGTTCTCAAATATGGACTAGCAAACTCAGGATTACAAAGTCCAAAAATATTAAGAAACCTAAAGATCCACCTCTGTAGATAACTGAAATTGCAGAGATTTCTACCCAACATCATTATTCTCAAAATGTTTATTGCAATTTGGCAACACATGTCGTTTAGAGAGATGAGACAAAATCTATGCTTCAAAAATATGCAAGGCGTGGTATTTTACATACTCTTTTCATTATGTGAGCAGATAAACAGTTTCAAGAAAGATATATTGAATGTAACATCAGGAGCATGGCGCATCTCCTCGAGCAAATGTGAGAGAAGCATATTTAAAAGACTCCTCTTAGAACAGACACCAGATCCTGAGTTTCATCCACCCTTTTCTTTTGTGTCAAGCCAAAAAAAATGAGAAGCTATGATAAACTRGTTCAGTGGGCCAGGCAAGCCAACACAGCGCCGGGCTCAGGTTTTATTGGAAGGTAGTTACTCCAAGGACAGGCTTGACCATWTGTGTAACATCTTGGCTAAAAGGGAGAGGAATATCTTTTCCACATCCTGTAACCTTWGAGTAGCAAATATGTGACTCTATTCCTCTATCATCATGCATGGCTACATTAAGTAGCGGAAGTTATATTTCAAGTTTCCATGTCTATAAATCCAGATGACTCTTTTGCCCTTCTTTACAGACGGATCAACTGATCTGTTCTAGACAACCAGCTAATCCTCACCACTGCTGTGTGCAGACAGAGCCCTAGGGCAGTTTCCTTACAGGCTTAGTATGTTTGTAGCTGAAGTTAATAGGTACAATGGAGCTTCAAAAGTTAAGAAAACAAAAACCAACCTTGCACYTATTCTGAAGAAATTTTATGGAGTTTTTTGAGAGGCAAAAACACTCTTGGAAAAATACTACTGGAATGGTTTTCCTTCGGAATGGAATAGAGGATGTGATTTCCTTGCCTATTCTATGAAAGATCATACAGATATCACASAGAAAAGCTTCTAAATGAAACCAGTCCTATTGCATATATGAAGAAAAGGATCTGTTGAGGAAATGATTCACTTGGAAAAGAAGGATCAAACACACATTTAAATATTTGCTTACATGCACATGTGTGCTGTATAAAATATGTATGTATCATTACTTATTTAGAGCACACAAAATGAAGACTACTTTTTCCAACTCAAGAATAAGACAGACACCTAATATGAAATACAATATTAGTACATGAACATCTTTTGCTTGATGCCCTAAAAGCTTTGTCCTTTAATGAACATTCACGTTTCAGACTAAGCCCGGTATTTCAATAGAGTCAAACAGCAAAAGGATCCAGCTCATAAACTGCTTTAAAACAGATTAAAACTTCTCAAACATTTAAACACTTCAGTAAATTTCATTGAGGGATTATTTCCCTAGCGATTCAGGCTGGTTTCACTCATTTATGCACGTACCAGTTGTGCATGGTGAAATCCAAAGCTCCATGATGTATTAACTCACACCTGGCCCCTAGGAAACTATTGCAGGTTAGTAAATCTCACTGCCATAGAGATGTTCTTGTTCAATGGATATCACTATCCTGTTCCTCATTTTGTCCTTTCTATTTATAACCCTTAGCAACAGGTTTATTAAAAGGCTGTTGGTTTGGTTTGCAGGAGTTTTTTGATGGGAGATTTTTTTTGTGTGTTTTCTGTTTGTTGGGGGTTGTTTTTTTTTTAAACTCACATTTTTTAAACAGGAATCCCTGCTCTGGCTTCCCAATGRCTTTGTTTGCTGTCCCCCAAGCAAATGTCTTACTAGAAAGACACAGATGAGGCATCCTAACAGATCTTACTTATCTGGTGGAACTGGAGAAGGAACATTTCTTCCCTACATGTGCACTTCTAYCACGTGAAGTGGAGGGCATCCAAGTAAATAGACCTGTGTGGACAAGGCTTCACAGAACTGCAAGGGGTATTGGGAGGCTGCCAGTGAGAGTACAGGGGAAACTTCATCAAGTATTTCTAGATGCACCAACAGCTAATCCGTCCTTGTACCTGGATTCCTTCTCACTGAGGCAACAAGGGAAAGGACCAGACAGAGTTGTTTGAAAAGTGCAGTCAGCACTGATTTGCATGTACTTTCCAAGAGCTTTTGTAGTTTAGCTCATTAWGTTTCAGGCTTCTGATGGGCCTGAACTCCATTAGTGCTACCTTGTGTGTGCTGATTACACACCTCCTGCTTCCAATAGTTAACCATGTTGAACCACATATTTTTGTTAAAATTATTTATGCCTTCCCCAAAATGTTGTAAGGTAATCTGTTCTAACCCTGGGAGACCAAGAGCCAAAAACTCACAACACCCCTGCTTTCCAGTGAAGGATGAATCTTTCAGTGCTAGTCCAGCCTTGTTAAGGATTACAGTGGAGTTATACTGGAGGACACAGTGTAAACTATTCACAGAATCTGCAGAATATTGTCACAGTACTTTTGATGTGACCATGAACCACAAAAACAAAGCAATTACTTTCCAGCACTCTGGCCATTCCTGGGATTTTAACACATCACAGTGTATGATTATCACTTTCCCTTAATAAATGGAGCCTAATCCAAAAGGAAAGTGCTTTCATGTCAGTCCTGTAACACATGCACAACCTAGTTCTGAGCTAGAGATGCTTTTTCACGGAAGGAAAGACTACACAGCAGAAAAAAACCTGTCAGGCTCAAAGCAGCTGCTCCTGCACTGGCTTGTGTCGCTGCCTGGATGGAACAGAGTTGAAACCATCTTTTATTCAAAGGCTGTTTCCAAACCACACAATGCGTCTTTCTTTCAAAAATGGCTAATTAAATGAAAAAGATTACATGGCATTTAGTTGAGAGCAGCAGCAAACTGCWCTAGAAAAATGCAAAAATAACACTATTGTTTTACGCTCGTATTTAGGGAGTTTGTTTTCTTGARCCTAACCCTATACATACACAGAAGCTTTTGTTGGTTTCAATAGATGGTATCRGTTTCTGAGGTCTGAGTGCCAGCCCTGCTGTAAATCTCACAAGGAATTACAGATTTATTTTTGGAGATATCATGCTAGACTAACACCATTCTAATCAGGATGAAAACCTCACTTTTCTAGGAGCCCTACTTATTAAAATCTAAACAGTTGACAGAAAGGGAATTAATAACTATGTTCCCTGCAGTTTGAGAACACAGTATTTTGTGGTCAGTAAGGGTTGTGCCAACACCATGCTACCTGCATCTACCAGATTGGGTAAAAATATCTTATAAAAATCTGCAGTTATTTCATTAGAGCCTAAAACACGACTGCCATTAAGTGCTGCCAAGTGATTCTACAGGACATCAGTTTTGAGCAACCTGTGTTTACCAAGATTTCCAGGATGTTGGAAACATCTTTGAAGTGTTGAATGAGACAGAATACTGTCCTGCAGGGCTAAGGCAACTGTAAACATTGCTCTTACATCCCACAAGCAAAAAATAAAAACACCATGGAGTACACAGACTTCTCAACAAGGCTATTTTAGACACACCTTCTATGGCATTATACACCAAGTGGAAAATTGCTTTTAACTGCAATCAGGCTCTACATATATATTCCTCTGCCAGCTGGGCCTTAGTAATAACCTCATGTAAAGTACACAATAAATAGAAAGGTGTAGGAAGCAAGAGTTTAAGTAACTCAACACAGGATGCAGGCAGGGATTCCAACAGCTCCTGCAAGCAGCACTGAGGTTAATGCAGCCATCTCACCAGTGCTGGGCACACTCTGCCTCAAGCAGCAGTAGTCAAAATTCAATTTAATCCTGCATCCACATCCTGCAATTAACCAAACTATAAAGAGGGAAAAAAAAACCCAAAAACTTAACATGGAAATTACACAGCTCAAGGAATCTAAATTATAACTGGAAYATTCATGGTTAATTAAAGAGTTCATATGTGTGCTCTTTTTTCGCCTGTTGAAAGAGTATTTCTAGAGTTCCAACTCCTTCTCCAAGGCAGCAACTGGATTTCTACCCCTGGGTTAGACTGAAAGGAGTAAAAAGAGTGCAAGAAAGTTGACATGGTTTACAAGTTTTAGCCTGCAAATATGAACTCATCTCCATGAGTATTTTTTTTTACATCAGCAGTATTTTTGAGAGCTCTGATGACTTTCAGGTACCACCTTTCATAGCGTAAAACAGTTGTAGGAAGCAATCAGCACATATAACTGTATTTTCAGAATTTGGAAACACAGCTGAGAGAGATACACTTACCTGTGCTCATGCAATACACCCACTTATAAGTCACCACTGCACAGAAAGAACTCCACAGGCACTAACCAGGTCAGGACCTAAATACCTAAGCTCTGGATTGCCCCTACTACAGCAGTTCTAAATACATAACAGGGCTGCTGAARCACTAACCAGTCACCAGCTGCCCATACTCTACCTTTCTATCCCCACTCTCATCCCACACATCTTCCCTAGAAGAAATGTGAGTTCACTATCATAATTACCCAAGATCCTTGTAAATTCTAGGGGTAGCACTGCATCCCTAACTCCCTACAGATCTCTTACTTCTATACAATTTTATTTACAGAAAATTTTCATCTTTTATACCGCCTTCCAGAACCTATGCAATGCCAAGACCCCAGAAGTCAGGGCTATTGAAACAAAACTATTGTGCTTCTGACAGCAGCCTTTCACAGGATTCTGTTTTCTGGTTGTACAAGTGGTTCGCTTTATTGAAGGCACACAAACCACTGGATCCACTTACCAATATTAATCTCTTATGGATAGCAGCTGACATGCTTTGCATTTTTGTTGGATGAACTAATAAAGTGGGACATTGTCCCTAAAGATTTTGATTTTAAGCCAATCTCAAAATGCAAAATTGTTTCTCTTCCAGTGTTTCTCTTCCAGTGGGACTTACTGTGGTCAGGTTGCTTTATGGTGGATAGATCACAATGCTGTGGATCACATCTGTGGCAMCAAGACAAATAAGTAAATGGCTGAATACTCTAACTTTTAGCATCCATTTACTTGTCTATTTTTCCCCACCAGAAAAAAGCCTTGCGAGAGAAATGGCTCTTGGATGGCTTTAGTTCTATGACTCCAAAAGAAGAAGAAGAAATGCAAAGGCAGAACCAGGAGGACCAACAACGGACTCACGAGCTGGAACAAGACATTTTCAGGTAGGGAAGTACCCTGCCCTTGTGACTGGGTTAAAATGGTCTCTTCTTAAAAGTCCTACTGCATTTTGTAAAAGATAAAAATGTCAAGAAGTGCTAAACACATGTAGAGTGTTTAAACAAAACAAACAATCTTTGTAGTGTTTTCTAGTAGTTTAGAATTAGAAAATACACAATGCAGTTTTCCATACTGTAAATTCTATCAAACTGCACAATAATTATATTTGTTTCTCTAATTCCAGATAAYCTTTCCATGATGTATTCAGTAGGTGCAAGCCACAACATATGGGGCTTGCTCTGAGATAGCAATTGGTGAATCAGAACTTAAAAATAACAGTAGATTTTGAAAATTCTTTAGTTTCACTAGGTCCTGGCACAGGCTTTAATACCTRGCTTTCACCTTAACAGTGCTTCAGTACAGGCTCCCCAGACCTATTAGTAATACTTATCTTCACTTCTCTGTGCTGTTTTTTATTCAGTTTATTCCCAGAAATCTGCTGCAGTAAAAGGTTTTTTCTACCTTTCATGAGAGATGTTCTCATGAAATCTCATTAACTAGTGCCTCCCTACTACACAATGCTAATATTAAACTGCAGAAACTGTCTCATGAATGACTCTTTTATTTGCTATGGACATGAATGCAGGTGCTTATCAGCTTCAGTTAGCCCTTCCCAAATACCACAGGTCTGTGTACACTATCAGCTCCTTCCCTGGGTCCAAGCATACTGACTGGTATTGCCCCTTAGCACCTACAGAAAAGATGAAATGTTCCTATTCCTTTAGATTCTGGAAAGTTTCATCATCCTTTTCCAAAGCCTCTTCCTCTATTTCAATTCAATACCATTTTCCCCTATGCTTTTCTTCCACTGTCCTCCCACACACACTCTTTTGGCAAAGCTGTCACTAAGATTACTTTCTGTGGTGATCTTCCATCCTCTTCCCGCCTTACTCCTTCTCTGACACAGATAATAATTCTCTTGGCTGACAGAGAGCAGCCTTGTGCTAGTTTGTCCTATAATTATGCTGACTTCTTCCTCAAAAGCACTTTTCTCAACAGAACAGCTTTTCACACACCTCTGTAGAATTCCTTGCTGCAGAGATAGGAGGTAGACAGGGTAAACATCCCAGGAGGCTGCCATTCTGAAGGCATGCAAGAGGGGTCTACAGGACAATGTGAYTGCCAGGAAAGAACACCATCCAGGGATAGAACGGGCTAAGGAGCAGCAAGGAACTTGCACTGAGCAAGTATTTCCCCATCAGACCACTAGAAATTCAGCCCATCTCTACGTAGTGAGAGGAGAGATTAGATTCTCAGTCCTGTTGACCATGAGCAAAGCCTGAAAATTTAGCAGATACCTCCTTCATTTAGAAATTTAACAGATACCTCCATGCATTTAGAAATTAGTAATGGGAAATTTTGAAAACAATAGGGTTTTTTTAAAACCATGTCAAGGTCTGGATTTGATATGTGGCTGTGTTGGTGACAGGATATTTTTATTCTCCTGAYGTGGCCTATCTGTTGCCAATTCATTAGATGACACCCAGGTAACAAGCAAAGCTACTGTAAAGGAGGTCTAAGAATGCCTATGCCACAAAAAAGGAAAGTTACTGAACTCCTGACATAGTGATGGCCTTAAAAACAATGTACGAGTAGGAACTGTATCTAAATCTAGTCTGTCACTTCATAACACACCTCTAAGATTCTCTGCACCTGAGCCACTGTAATTGAGCTATCTCACAGCAATGCTGGCAGTGGGTCCTCCTGGCCTGTGCCTGGAAATACCTGGAATTCAGGATTAGGACAAAAACCTTCCTCCAGTACTAGTTCATGGATGTCAGCAATTAGGGTGCATTGTTCATATATGTCATCTTGACCTCTTGCAGAAACCTGGGTTTATAACTACAGTTGTAGAGTCTTTTTGTTGTTTTTTTTTTTTTAAAAAGCTATTGGCCTGAACTTGTCATCAGCTCAGTGGCCTTAATTTTTAGTTCCTCAGATACCAAAACTGAACACACAGTGAGCTTTACTTTTCTGAATGCAGCCATACAAACTTTTTTTTTAGGATGATAAGAATTTATCACTATTACAAACAGTGAAATAGTAATTCAGCTGGGGTTTCAAACCAGAAAAAAAGCCTTGAATTCATGTAGGAAAAATTAACATCAAAGGAATATTTCCTCTGCTTGAGATCTACAGATCCAAAACTTGACAAGGGGTTATAAATTTTAAAGTTTATATTTTAAAAGATAAGTGCAGGCACTTAAAGAAAGATTTCTAAATATATTTTTTCTTTAGGGAAGGAGAAATTTAAATGTCAAACCCATCATTTGTCCCCAGCTGCTTTCCAAAATCCAAAACATGGATCCTAGAGTAACATTTCAGCCAGTTTCTATTTTTTGCTCATTGCAAGGCCTAGATGTGAAGATGCTGTGAGTGGGCAGACTGCACATTACTGATCTATTTACTCTCATGAATAAACAATCAAAAAACCTTGAAGTATTTGGCATCTTCCATCTTCACTATAAACAGAGGACTCAAAGACATTTAATTTTAGAGATGGAGAGTGGAGGCAGAAGAACAYACCCAAAGTCATGTGGGAATTTCCCTCTGTGTTAAGAATTTAGGCAGGTTTATTCACATGTACAGTTTTTTGCTATAAACTGTATTTCCTACCATTCCCCAATAGCTGTTGAGCAAGGGCATCTAGAAAAACATCCACATCACCTTCTAAATAGCATTACATCTTGTTTATACATGCCTAGGCCAGTTTCAAACCAGCCAGTGGTGATACAGAAGCCTAGGAATAAAGTCCACTAGTAAATACAAAATATGCACCATACAGTAGTTGCACAGTGCTTTTGCTCTGCCATGGATATCACCAAAGCTAACAAGATCTTGCTTGACCTTTGACCTGCCCTGTAAATCAAACATTGCTAAACTGATTGCATAGGCAGGTCACACATAGAAATAACAAATTCAGAGCCTCAGTAGAATTTCTTCTTCTGAGCATCTGACTATTAAAATTCACTTSATTCAGACATATTCAGTTCACTCTGTTGACTGTGCTGTGTGTGTTTTGTCTTCAGTTAAAAAAATATGAGTCACTTAAAAGACTTTTTGAATACCCTTAGACCAGTCTTTGTTTCTTTCTGCTGAGAGGACAATTGCAATTGTAGGCAGATTATTCACTGTAGTGGCATGGGCCTTCCTATCACCCTCCTAAATGTGACCTCTGCTTTGAAACATTCTTTACCTGGGTATCAAATTGAGCTAATGTATGTCTGCTAATTAATTTCGATTTGAGCATTTTTTTAGAAAAGGGAGAGTTCCACTCTTTGTATCAATGACAAAACAGTGAAKAACAAGCAGCCTGAAGCACGTTGTAGACAAATGGCTGAATGCTTTGGTTACAGACAAAAAGATTTCACTTACATTATCTGTCCTGTTTACCCTCTTTACGTGTTAGAAGCTTCAGTGGGCCGAGTGAACACGTCCTTGGTCAGGGTACAAGCTGAATGAAGAAATAGGAGTCCCATTCTCTCATTTAATCTTCAGCTAATAACACTCATTCTTGGTGGAATTAGTTGCTAAACAACATATTTAAAAATGCAAAACAACTAAGGTTTATGCAACTGCTTGCAATGTGATGCGTGAAGGTGGACTCAGGCTATACTCCAGATGCTAAAGCATTTGACTCACCTCAGAACATGTGAGGACTGGCTAAACTGCCCTTCCTCCTCAGTCTGGAATTCTTCAGCATGGCAGTGTGCTCTCTTCCCGTCTGCTTTTCATTCTTAAGCCTTTTCTTTTSCTGGGGTGGCAGTGATGCCAGCTCCAGCAGATCATCTGGTGGCCAGGAGTAGCCAGRCAAACTCCACAGATTTTCTTAATTCAGCTGCAACGTTGGCAAAGAAAGCTTCCATTTAGTGCTTTGATTTCTAATGTTTCTTCTCTCATCCACACCTTTATAGTACTAATTTTCCCCTCTCAAATAACAAGTGCTACTCGAAAAGAAAAAGACAAATATTCAAAGGATTGATTTAGCACAGTAGCTATGGCATACTTCCATTTCTCTCTGAAAAAATGCACTACTGTCAAAAGAGAGTTTCTTATAATTGCTAGAATAGTTGCTAGACCCTTTCAAGACAAACTGTGATATAACTCCTTAAACAYGTCATTGATTTAGAAGTTTCTAAACATTCAAACACACCAGAAAGATCCTGGCCTAACTTTTCAACTGCATGATGTTATAAGGGCTTCAGTTTCTTTGAACYATACAAATTGCACCTCTTAGAAGTTTCTTTTCCAAAAATTCCAGTGTGCATACTCACAACACACCCTAAAAATGAACCATAAAATCTATTTTTGTGAGTGTAAGTGTAAAAGAGATATTTAGAGTCTAGATGCAATTCTCATTACATGGGTATGAGAATTTCTCTCTAAATCCACTGAGAATTGAACAAGTTCTCTTAATTACCATATAAAATGGGTGCTGGTATGGGTGTAAGAGCATCTATAACTTTAATTCATTTCTTGATCACCCAGGTAAATATATGGTGTTCATAATCTTTGATTTATTTGGAGTTGTGTTTTCTCATTTTCCCCACCTCTCTTTTTTTAATATCTCAAAGATTTTTCCTCTTTTTTTCACCTGTGTGTCTAGGAGTRTTTAAAGCCAAGACTGAAATAAGCCCACAGTATAAGTTAATGATTTTTCAGTTCTTTATGCTTCTGTGGGATTTTAATAATTTTYACATTATGGTAATATATCAATCAAGTCTCATTTAAAAAGACATCTCAATGCATTAAACAAAGACTATTCTATAACAAATGCAAAAATGTGGCACATAGTCATTACTTCCTTTTATAGCTGTCCAAAAACATTCATCCCCCTTGCAAATTTTATTAATTTTAATACTATAATCAACACTTTTGATCAGGGTTCTAAGGCCATCTTGCAGAGCTCAGGTTCAAAGTGTTAGCAGCTTTTAATTTCATCCTCAAAGCATTTTTTTCCCATCTCAAGTCTGAGGTCCATGATACCTTTGAATATCAAACAGGATGTTGTCACTAACAGATGAAAGTCCATGCAGAGGCCTGTTAGTGTACCWCTACATATCTGAATTTTAATAGGGCAAAAGGCATAATGTTAATTCAGATTCCTCAGACACATAGAAGGAAATAAATAATGCTTATCTAATGCTTATGTCAACCCACATTCAGCTTTTCTACTCTGGTTGTTTTAAGGGATGACAGACTTTAGTCATTCATGTTAACTTTGGTATGATATTGTGAATCCTAGCACAAAGTCAAGAAGTCACAATACGCCAATTTTTTCCCTCAGGGTTAAAGGCCAACAGCTCTACAACCCTGTTTTTTAACTTTGTCTGAGATCATCTAGTTATAAYTATTCTGACTGCTCTCCGCAGTCACAGCTGCCTCAGGCCTACAGTCATTGATTTCCAGCAKGGATTCAAAAACAATGGAAGGTGTATGTCACTCAGACATGGAAGCTTGCTAAATGTTTTTTTTTTTTCCTTTAAGTTGAACAGTTCTTTTAAAAAGAACCAGGACACTGTAGTTATACAGCACTATCCTACAGCATATGGCATTCAGTTCAATTCCCACTTCAGAGTGAAATCTGGGGYTGGATTCTGGATCTTTGTGGAAAGGTGACTTTCCAACTGCTCAGCTAATAATGCAAATTCTATGTAAAACCCAACAAATAAGCACTTAAACAGAAAGAAACAGTCTTGACTAGAAAGAATAAAAAAATAGGACACAGGACACGTGCTTAAGTCACTGCCTTACTCAACAGACAAAAGAATTTGACTGAGATACTTTACCTTAGAGGTGTGCTCTAACCCAGGACAACCAGGCATAGCTTCCTCCCTCTCTCATACAGACTTTCATTTTTTTATCCTGGACTTCTCTGTCTAGAAGTGTTTGTCTTATGCTAAGAAAATAAAAACTCTAATCAGGAAAAAAGATACTTTAAACATTTTAACATGCAAGAAACTATGCAACACAGACTTAACACATAACAAGAAAGGCAGGGAAGGGAACTGTAACCTACAAACCTACAGCAAGTGTCAGTAGCTCAAAAGAAATTGTGACTGAAGAGCTTCAATACTCCTTTTWTATAACAATAGATATTTTTAAAGGAAAATAGATAGCACATCAGCCAAGACTTAACTGACACAATAGYTCATGTTTACAAACAGAAGGCTTTGTTTGTTGTTGGTTTTTGTTTTGTTTTTTTCTTTTTAAATGAAAATACTATTTCATGCTTATTTCCCAATGTGTGTGAAATTATAAACCAATCTCATATAAGACCAAAGTTTGTCAAGGTAAGTAGAACCAGCCCTACTAATGTCCATACTCCCAGTGTATCAACTCCCCAGTGTTCTCTGCCCGGTATTAAATCAAATGTAACTGTGGTTACAGACTGGAGAAGGAAATTGAGGCTCTGGAAAGACAAGAAATGGAAGTCTCAGCAAAGGAAGAAGCAATTTTAAAGAAGTTGAAGTCTGTTGAGAAAACAACAGAAGACATAATAAAGGTTAGTGCTATATTWTTCCAGGAACAGAATTTATTACTTATCATCATATCCAGGAAAAGGGGAACTAGCTGGATCCCATGAGTGCTCATGAGSTTTTGTCTGAAGTGACAGCAGTTCAAAAACAAGAGGGGTCAAGATGTTACATTAAGTGATTTTATGTCTCCCTTTGCTTATTTATGGGGGTGGGTGGATGATTCCTGTCTTTACTCATCTATAGCACATCCCCACAACACAGCACTGCCACTGCCACCAACCAGCAACTTTGCAGACAGACACAACAGGTACAGATCGGGTACAGAGGCTGGGGTATTCATATTCCTTCGGGTGATGTGCTCTGCTAAACTGCATCATGCTCTCCCCCAAGATCCTGACAGAGGTTATGATGAAACACATCTTAATGTTATCAGCCAAAAGTCTTKGTCAAAAGGTCATTTTAATATTTTAAAATAATCTTAAACCACCTCAAAAAACACAGCAATGAAACCAAACTTCAGATCTCCAGTTGTTCTCACATACCCACACACATTCCCTAAAGATACACAGGGAGATAAGTGAAACTGGAAAGCCAAAGCAAAACCTTTAAAAAAATCTTTGAAGCCAACCAGGTTGGGCCACAGAGGGAGGCTAGGTYACTGTTTAATGCTTCATAATATTTTTGTCCTTCCCTGTGTGACATATTGGCAAAAAGGACCACAGAAATATCACTTTCTCACTTGCCATGCTCCAACTGAGCACGTTTCACTTTTGCCCTTTCTCTGTATGAAGCTGTGCACACCAAAGGTTAAAACTATCAGGGAAACCAAAGCACTGTCTAGTTAACATCTTAAAAGTAACTATCGCATTTATTGTTAATGGTTCTCTTTCCCACCTAGTCTGTGAAGACTGAAAAAGCAGGATTTGAAAAAGGTACGTTTAGTCAAAAGAATATTTTCAAAAAGGTTCATGTAGAAGCAAGTTAAAACATACTAATGCTTTGTGAATCTGTGGATCTTCTTTACTCAGAGGCAGCAGACTACATATATGCCAGCATACCTGACCTTCCCAAGTATTTCAAACCTTCTGCACTGAGAAGCACAGCACATGCTGACACAGATRATGAAGAAAAAAGAAAAGGTACTGCTTATTAGTAACTCCAGAAGGTGTCAATATGTACAAAAGCTTCCCATTTATTGAATCTAATATACTTTAAACAAAGAATAGACATTATAGATGAGACACTTATTCTCATTTAAACTGTGTTATAAGTCAGGTCATCAAAACTGAGAGGTGAGACAGTGGTGTAAGGTATGTGCCACTGAGAATAACTCTTTTCACCATTGACACTTCTTTCCAACACTTCATTCCTCTGCCTGTCATAACTAGTTACAGACTCCCTTCATATCATTCCACATTTTCTATCTGCACTTACAGCTGTTGGGCAGCCAGCAGTAGTCTGCTTATTTCCAAACCACTACAAAGCTCTCTAACCCTTCAGAGTACCCAAGACTCTCCAGCATTGCAGCACATTGAGCTCTTTCACTGTGCTGCTATTGCCCAGCATAATACCAGGGGCCAAGGTTAAATCTCGATTTCTCAGTCCAACATGTAATAAAAACTGTCTCCTCAACAGCTGATTTTTCCTCACAGAATTACATCTAAATGAAAATTCTTTTTTACCACAGTTTAAAAAGAGGTTTTCAAAATGAGAATCTAATGTATTAGTTGTGTGTGTGTTAATTTCACATATTTAACAATTAATTCTGACAGTCATTCTCTATCACTGTCAGAACTCCTGTATTTCTYGCAGCTACTGCATTACCAATTTAAGCTTGTTTAACTTGTTTCTTTCAACAGCTTTGTTTGCCATGGAAATTAAGGTTGAAAAAGACATGAAGACAGGAGAAAACACAGTGTTATCAACAATACCTCTTCCCTCCAAGGAGTTCAAAGAGACAGGAATTAAAGTCTATGATGATGGCAGAAAGTCAGTCTTTGCAGTGTSCTCGAATGGCAGCACAACACAAAATGGGATGGATGAACTTGCTCCTGTTGAAGTCGAAGACCTGCTAAGGCAGGCAACTGAAAAAAATTCTCAGTCTCCCACAGAGTACCATGAACCTGTGTTTGCAAACAAATTCTGCAGGCCAGTTACTCCTCAGAAAGACATAGTAGTCCCTGGACCAAAAGCAGAAGGCACTGACAAAAGAGAGATGAATGGATTTARCAATCATCAGACAGAGTTCTCCAAACCAGAGCCCTTTATGCAGCAAMATAAAGAGAATGGGTTTGATCTTTCAAAGGTAACGCAACCAAAGTCTCCCTCTCCAGTAATTTCYCATTCAGAGAGGAAAATGCACTCTAATCCTGAGAACAGGATGATTCATAATGAAGAAATAAAAGCTGCACATGAGGAATTAAAACCTTACCAGAATACAAGAGAAAAACATAATGAGACAAGGTTTTCAAATCCCTCCCATACTAATGAAACATACCCTGCACTTCAGGATGAGGAAGATGTTCGATACAACATTGTCCAGGCTGTACCTTGTTACGTGGATGAATCTGAGCCAGTGACAATGGTTTTCATGGGTTATCAGCGCATTGATGATGATGATGCAGAGGCAAACCAAAAGYTGTCCCAATATGATGGAGTTATCCGTGCAGAACTAGTTGTCATTGATGATGATGATGAAGAAGATGACAGCAAATCAGAGAAACCAGCATATCATCCCATAGGCCATTACAGTCAGGTTTATCAGCCACCTAACAGGAAAACCACAGAAGTCCCACAGACAAGCCCYGTGAGCAGTCTGGGTGCGAGCCTGAACAAGGTACCCCACAAAAATTCCATCTCCCGGCAAGAACAAGAGGAATGCTTAAGCTCACCAACACAGCATGCTCATCTTCAGAGCCAGGTGTCTGGAGATGGTACAGAAGATCCCTCACTCACAGGTAACAGAAAAGGAAAATCATGTCACTGCTGTCTGCTCATGTAGCAAACTGATACTCATCTGCTGCAGACTGTGTCACTTCTTATATTGTTTTGATGGTTTCACAGACTAATCTGCTATCAATAATAATTTCTTTGCTCTTGTTTGTTAACAAATACCAATCTACATTTTGAATCTGTTGAATTGTTTTGTCTTTAGCAATGCACTAGTTACCATATCAAAATTTGGAAAATAAACTATCCCAGAAAAGCYGTTCCTGTAACCTTCAAAGATTAAATTTGGTTCTCCTTCAAGTTCCATTAATGCTACCACAATTAGCAGAATTAGTTTTCACTTCTTGCAGGTAACTAACAGCATTGCTACTTAACACTTCCTCCTCCCTAACTGGCATGTTTTGTGCCTGTCTGCATTCCAACTACTTCCTAGATCATCCAAATTACTCCTTAAATCAGAAAGACTGCTTAATAACTAGTTTTATTTTGCAATTTTAAGGAATTAACATTGCCAACATTGTCTTGATAGTGTTTATGCAAGTTTTAATGTTTTTTCATTAACCCAAGTTAGTTTTATAGCTTCTGAAAGATAATGAAACAGTTTTCATCACTACACAGGTTTAGTCCAATATTCCAGAGTTATTTTGTATACTTTTTATATTCTATTAATACACACAGTATCTATTTCTTACTAAAAAGTTTTATAACAGAATGCAATAGCAAAATCTTCCAGAAAGATAGAAAACTTTATGATTATGTTGCACTTTAATGCATACAATTAAACTGCATTTAAGTATACTTACAGAGCAGCAGATTTCCCACAGTAGTCACATTCCACTTCAAGGAAAGCACWCTGTGGTTGAATTACAGGAAGATCAGGGGTCCTGATCCCACATTCTCTCCCTCCAGACAATTTGCAGTGTAAGTTTGGGGCCTGCCTAAATCTGTACTGATAGCCCAGGAATCCGTTACACTAGACATAAAGCTAGGAAAGAGGATGATCATTRGATCATGTAAGAACTTTCAAGCATTTTTACATCAGTAGGCATTGATTGGGAAGAGCTGTTCAGCAAGCAATTCTTTCAGCTTTTAGGAGTGTCAACATCATGAATTCATACACACAATAGCCAGAAATATTCCAGCAGCACTGCCCAGCCTTTCTGGTCAATAAGGCCACTACAATTTTCTATCACTTGAGAGGACCTCTGCTTTTCTCAAGCACCCATCCTGCCATCTGTGCACTTGCCTGTGTCCTCCAGTACTAAGGAGGACAGTAGCCAGTAGCTCTTATGCCAACAACTGAAAGCAGAAGTAGATAGTACAGGAACCATAAATCCCCCCAGAAACCACTCCAGCCCATWATATTTTGGGGATAGTACCTTAATTCCCCCATCACATCAGTATAAGATAATGGAGAAGGGACACTCACCCACCCACCAGCAGGTTTYTACTGCAACAGGTCATTCATCCTACAGCCTGGTGAGTGGGTATTCMTGAATGTATCCCAGAAAAGAGTTTTCCAAACAGTAACTATGAGCTGGCAGTATTATTCAGGTGGGCCCTATACAGGTCATGAGATGTTAGCTGACTACCTCTAGCTGTAACAATCCCAGCTGATTTTTGTCTCCCAGGAGAAACATCTGAAATTTCTAGATTTTTCCCTTCCACTCAGACACTTCCCAAACCAATATGGGTTCTCTRTCATTTGAGGTCAATGGAAAATTAATACTGAGTTTCAGCAAAGGGGAATAAGTGTAAATCTAGGAAAAGTATTTGAGAATTTGTCCTGTAAATCTGTATTTGGCCTCATCTATTTACTTAAACGGCCAATTGTGAAAAATGGATCCCAAATAAATTACAAGCAGTTTGGCAACTGCCTCAAAAATGCATCCAGTCASCACTGCCTCTGAGTATCTTAATGCCTAGTAGGATTTGGAACTAAGCCATATTCTTCTTTAGCCTTCCATTTATTTATTGCCACTCCCTGGGACATTTTTGATCAGTGGAAAAAAAGCCAGGAAGTGACTCAATTTTTCCCAAGCAGAACTATAATCCTACTGAGACTTCTAAAAGGGAAACAAAGCCAGGAAAGCCTCTCAGTCTAGATCTAAAACAATGTATTACACAGAGCTATTTCTTAGAGAAATATATTGTTTTCAAACCAGTCATTGATGGCTGGCCTAGCAGGTTCACCCTAAACACTGCTAGGGAAAAGAAGGGAGTCAGTTATTTTTGGTAACTCATCATCCATTACTAAAACAACAAACAGGAAAAATGAAAAACTAATCCTCTCTCAAAGCTTTGGGAGGCACTTGGAGCATTTAAACATTAAATAAGGACTGAAGACTCTCTGAAAGACAATGGAAAGCTAAGAAACACAGGACAGACCAGGATGATGGCCCCTTAGGTAACAATCCTTCTTCAGGAAAGAAATCAACCTTCAGAAGGTTTCTGAAATAGTTAGTCATGGTCAAGGACAGGAGACAAAGGCATTGTTCCATGTGCCAATTTATACAGAGAAATATCAGATTAAATTAGGAGCTTTCATGCCCACAAATTTACAAAGATATAGGGCATGCCTCTTTTGATGTAGCAGCAATTTTCCTTTCCCCACCAATATCTCAGWGTACATGCCTTCAAAAAAATCATACAGAGGAAAGAATGACGAGGCTATAATAAGTACACTAGTATTTGCATTATTAGAACTTATATTCTACTCCAAATTTCAGGCAAATTTATTCAAGTGCAAATGTTTTGAAGATGCAATACTCATTAGAGAAATAAGTCCTTGGGAGGGAACAAAGGCTAGACATAGTGAAATGAATAAGGAAATGCAAAACTAAAGCTGAATAAGCAGCAAAACCTACTGACAGTGTGGAACAGGCTCTCATGGGACATGAAGGTCCAAGGCTTTTGGCAGCTAGYGAGTCTAGATRAGCTWTTTTTTTTTTTTCCTTAACACTGGCAGCTTTGCAACCTTCAAATAACACAGTGGAGACAGCCCTATTTGTGTTGAAGAAAGTAAAATACAAAAAATCATTTTTAATGAAGACTCATGTACACCATCTGTTTCTGTAATGTATAGAGCAAGACAAAAACAGACTATGAGCTACAAGTGAAGCATCAAACTGACTGTTCTCAAACCATGTCCAGGACTTGAATCCTTCAGAATTCTTCAGYCTGTAAAAAGTACACAGTGTCTTTGTAAGAGCTAAGGTTAACATCAGTGACTCTACAATATAAAGTTACATTCAGATGCTCTATGATTTGCAACAACTTCAGCATTCAAAACATAACTGGAGTCAGACACTTGCTGACACGTATAAATCAAGTAAACAGCTGCTTTGACCCCTCGTGTCTCAGTAGAACATATGCAGGATGAAGGAATGAGATGTGCTATTTTGGGTGGCTCTTCAAACTAACAGGTCAGAGTACTGGAGATTATTCCCACTGCATTCTCAGAACAACAGTGTGCTGGGGGGAGGCCTTTACATATCAAACAACAGCATTATATTGCTGTTCTTAAAATAACCTTAACCTTAAATCATTTGCCTTGCACTGTCACTTTCAAACTTACCCACATTATACTCAGCTACAGACAATAGCCCTACTAATGTTTATACAGATACTGTTACTGCATCCGATGAAAGCAGGAACATGACTAACTCCCACTCTGACTCACAACACCGGGAARAGAGGAAAGTTTTCTCTGAGCTTCACAGAAAAGGAAAAGGTTTCCAAACAGTTACGACTCCCACAGAGGAGTTTAGTTTAAACAAAAAAGTTTGTTTAATTATTCATGCATCTTTTTAATCTGTCAGCATSCAGTCAAGGGCAAAACAAACTCTGYRTAWTGTGTTAGTAAGGTAACAGACAAAACAGAAGACAGCTGTGCTAATTTTTAAATAGTGATAATGGATTAGTTTTTTAATATACTCACTTTATTGCAAAATTACCAGAACTAACACCTTCTACTGATTTCTTTCTATAACACTTAAACAATGCTTATTCTGCTGGATTAACCACTGGAGGTATGTGTATTCTTCATTTTTCTAAATAAGGATATTTTGCTTCAGGAATAGAAAGACATACTTAAAATGCAATGGCTTTGTTTGTTTATTTTTGCAGCTCTGAGGATGAGAATGGCAAAGCTGGGGAAAAAGGTGCTTTAACAGCTGTAATGACATGGAAGTAAAATTTACCACTCAAAGCAGATAAAGCTAAGAAGACTTTCTTCCACATACYTTTTATGGATCATAATGCTTGTTTTGCTCCTCTGTTTCATGGGCTATTTTGCCCCCTGCATATTCCAATGGACTTTAACAGACTCAGATTTGACCAACTGCCACATACACACAAATCATATCCTGGATTTTGTTAATAGTAGTGGAAAGCTGCCGTTACCTAAGGCCATAAATGCAGTGTATATASAAGTATGAAGACATGTGCATACCTGTTCTTTCTATCAGAAATATGCTGTTGCTAGATACACAGAGCAGATAAATATCCATCTCCATGGAACTTCATTAGACATTGTTTCCCATTAAAGAGTGCCAATCTATCTGATTTTGACTGAAATTGCTGTTACAGCATTCTTTTTGTAAAAGCATTGGTTAAAACAAAGAAAAATGTGAGAGAGGAGCAGGAAGAAATGTAAATATAAAAAGTGCTTTTCAGTTACACTACCTTGGACAAAATGTAAAGCATTCCTTRTAAGTGATAGCAAAACAAACCAAAAATAATTAAGTTAGCATATTTAAATGTTTAGCCACCTTCTCGACCTCCACAGTCCATTCACCCCTCTATGTTACCTATGACAGTGTAGCCATCCTCACACCCTGCTCTCTTCACCATCCCACAAACATGCTGCCCACCCACAACCTCACAGATCAATCCCATGCATAATACTATGAACAGCCTGACCTCCTGACTATGGTTTCACCTCCAAGCTTGCTAAGAAAGCCCTGTTTTTCCAAGAAACTGGTTGCCAGACAGGCAGTACCTGTCCATCAAAAAAAAAAAAAAAAAAAAAAAAAAAAAAAAAAAAAAAAAAAAAACCCAAAAAAAAAAAACAAAAAAACAAAAAAACCACCCCCCCCCTCAAAACAAATAACCCACAAAACAAACAAACAACACAAAAAACACCAACAAGAACCATAGCGTTTACCATTCAGGTTTCAGCTGACTGAGAAGCTAAAATCCAGCCAGCCTCCCACCAGAAATACTGAGTTGCCAATGGCTTGTATTGCAAGTGCAAACAAAGGTCTGTTACAGGTGCAGCCACTCCTGGGMGTTCCCCAGCAAATTTCAAGGCTCCCACCACGGAACAGGTTAATTCTTTCCACATRATGGAGGAGGTAAGGGCTCAAAAAGCAGCTACAGTCACACCTAGAAACATCACATCCAAGTCAGATTTTCCACTACATAGTTCTTGGGAAAAAGTGCCTCATAGCACACTACACCCTTACATTCAAATTAGTGCAATAGCTTTGATTTGCTAGGTCKCAGCCTTGTTTGAAACACTAAACAGATAAAGCTCAGGTTGTGTTACTCTGGTATAGCTGACTCAAATTACGCACCAGCAGAAAAAAAACACCCGCTAACTTTTTCRCTGGTCTCCTTTTCAAAGCAGGAAACTGAAGTTACTACCTCATACAGAGGCACGATGGTAGTAATTGACTTTAGCCTCTAAACATTTGGTGCCTCCTGTGGGTAATAATCTCAAATTTTAAGACTTGTCAGAAATGGTTACCTGGAGAATGGAAGAGTCGATAAGAACAAATAAAYTTTATTATAGTACACTTCCTCTATGTCTATCCTGTTATTTGTTGTTGTTTCATAGTACGTTTTTTCCTTATGCTTCTTCTGCTGTTTGCTGTTTGTGGGAGTAGAAGGCTTCACCCTCAACTCTTAAGGAAGGATACATCAAAAAGTGACAGTAGGTGAGTGATATGAAGTAGTCATAAGCAGCTTTTGTAACAGAATCATATGGCTATGGGGACTCATCCTCTGCCTTCTCCAACAACCTGTAYTAGCAAACTTAAACAATATAGTTCATTTAGGAACACTTCCTATTTCCGACAACCTTTACRTGCCTCAACCTTCACTGAGGTCTTATAGAAAGCAAGCAAAATACAAGCGCTGTTATTTGAACAAGGGCGCCACGTAGTGTTACAAATTGTGATGGAACACAAAGCAGGCAATCAATCTCTCCTTAGCATTCCCTGGTTAAAGGACAAACATGGCCATTATCTCACTGAACTGCAAGTCTCCCCATCTTGTGATTTTTGACAAAACAGAAAACAATGTAGCACTCAGTGAAAGAAGGAGAAACTAAATACACCTTCCTCTGGTTCATTCTGCAGTCTGAAATGTCAAGTAGCTAAAAACTACTTCAAGTACAACAAAGTAGCTGTAAACTCCATTACATTTGAGTAAAGTGCACCAATCAATTTTTTTGTTTAAAATACAGCAAAGAACGTTTTTAGCCAAGACAACAACATATGACAGTATTTGGAGGCTTCATCTAACAACTTAATCAAAACAGTAAACTACTTGTGACACTGATCACAAATTTCTACTTGACTGGAAGTGTTTGCCTGTCTACAAGCCCAACAAATATGCCAACTTCAACTTCATGTAGGAAGTTTGAAATTAAAGAGAAGACTGAAACCTTCTTGATCTTTTCTGGTGAGGAAGTTTTCTTCATTTCAGCGGGATTCTTTTAAGAAGCAAAGCAACACATATTTTCTTCTATTCAATATTGTATCACTCAAGAAAAGAAGAAAATACAGCAGCCTCCTGTGCCCGTAGAACAAAACTACCTATCACCTACTTTCCTGCCAATATCAAACACTTCCACAGTTTGTTTTTTTTTTTCCAGGAGTACACCAGAAACTTTGGAAGTCACTAGAATACAATGACACATTACTTCCTCTTACTAGTCATGCAGGAAAAGGGCAGGGGTGGTGGTGTGAACAGAAATTAGATAAAATTAGCAAGTCTTTCAACCAATTAAGTTACAATACTGCACATAAGGGCTCCCATAAGAAACTACACAATATTGTGATGAAACAAGCTACCCAGAGCAACTGACACTTTTACCAATTTTGAAGTTGTATTCAATTGGAAATTGTTTTTTCTTCTTGAGGAAAAGAAACTTCATTTAAAAGTGAAACTATTTTAACATTCAATTTCAATAATAGTTTCTCCAGGAAGTATTGAGATAGCTTTAATTTATAAAACAACAGCTACAAAAAACAGACAATCCATTTTGCKCCTAGGCAAGACTTTTCTGGTTTCCATTTAACAGCATTTTCACATTACTAAAAGGGACAAGAACATTTATTGAGATATTTACATTCATGTTTTAAAACCCATGTTCATTGCCACAAGTAAATGAAACAACCCAGAGTACAGCTATTAYATTACAGAAAGAATATGGTATTAACCTTAATTTAAAAAGCCATCAATCATGCCTAGGTTGAGTGATTTTTCTTCTCTAAACTCACAGTATACAAAAGAGTCCCTCAAAACTTCAGCACTATATGAGGMAGAGATGCCCAGGCTCTTGAGATCACAATTCTCTAAAAATTCCACACACCCACACAGCTGGCCCCATGCTTCTTGCTCTTCAGCCTGGGTTGTGACTCATTTCTTCATAATCCCCCTTTCCCAAACTGCACAGGACTTTTTTAAGGAAGATGATTCAACTGAGACACTCACAGCCAGCTGCTGCTGACAAAGGGAATAATCCCAGTTCTATAAATGCCCTTATGGCTAAATCAGATATCTGAGCAGCCAAGAAGATCACTGACTATAAACAAACTTGTAGCTTCCTAAATATTACCTGTCCATGCAACAGGCTGCACTATGGACTTGGGGAGGTGGAGGAAGAAACCAGGCAGCTTTAGTAACTGCAGAGAACCACCACSTGGCCCACCCCTGCAAGTATTTTAGAGCTGGCCATACTTGTAGAGCTGCTGCTGTAGAAGTCTGTACCCAGTCAGGCCTCACTACTTACTATCCTATTCAATACTCCCAACACCTTCATTCGCAGCTAGTTTAGTAGCACTAGCCTAAAAATATTTTTTTTAAATTGTTGTAACTAAAAATTGATACTTTCCAGTAACAAAAACAAAGATGTGCAGAAGCAAGCTGTTCAGAGCCACAAAACACAACTGCAAAGCACGGTAACTCCATGGCATATTAAGGTTTCATTTTTAAAATTCCATTTCATGGTAGGCAAACCAGGAACCAAAAAACTTACACAATAGTGTCTCTTTTATCCTTTGTATGTAGTTCATATATCTGGAGAACCTTTTTGTTGACTAAAAATTGCGCTGCGATATTCTTCCACAATAGAATTGTTATAGAATTCTTATAGTTCTGTTTTCTAGATATGCCAGCTCAAAGAATTCTCATTAAACACTAACAGAAGCTGCTTTTCCTGAAGCCAGCCTAGCTCCCAAATCATGTTTTGSTCAACAGCACAAATACAACTGCAACATTCCAGAGCAAATATTTTCACTTCCATTAAAGCATCAATTGGCATAAATCCATCTTGTTCACACAGTCAAGTAATTCAGAAGCCATAAGCAACCAATGACAGCAAAACAAAAATCCATAAACACATCTAGATTCTTCCTGGTTTAAGTTTTGGACAAGTTACAATGGGATTTAATGCATTATATTTTGCAAACACATTTTCTCTTTATGGTTCAGAAGCACCAAGAGGGATGAGACAGAGCAGTATTTTGGGGGAGGCAAATGGTGGTTTTACTAAAGGACTGAAGTTCTCAAACTCCTATGCTTGTTGTGTAAGTCACTGCTCTCAGAGCAGACAGAGGGGTTTTTGCATTCCAGATCTCCCTAACACTGAGTATGACACACATGTGCTGTTATTCTTCAATTATACCTTCAGGGACATGTGGAGAAAAAAAGTAGTAGTAAAAAGTATTCCTTGTAGATTTTCAAGTGCACAGTATTTCATTATAAAATCCCCAAACACTTATTTCATACTTGGTTGATTGCTATCAGGAAGGCAACAAGGAATACTATATTTCCACATACATAGATGGTTAACACGATCTGTTTAAACAGACGACCCTGMAAGAAAAGGGAAAGAAAGGTCATTGAACAGGCTTTTGAAACATGGCTTAAACTAAGAATCATCCCAATTCATAGTAGTTAATTGTCAAATTGTGATTTACCTCTGCTTCTGCAGATGTGAGAGACTGCAGTATCTGTACTCTGTCCTCATCTATCACTTCAACTGTTCATGGGAAGAAAAACAGAAGTCATGTCTGCCCTTAGGAGGAAGGGGGAGCATCATTTTATACTGCAGAAGTCTCGATCCTGTCTTACAGAGCATCAARTCTGTAAAGGACTTGGAAGCCTCATTTCATAACCTGTTACTACCATAACAACACAAATGAAAAATTATTCTGTAGCTGACCTAAAGAAAGTAAATTCTGGACATTGAAGTAAAAAAACATTTTGTCTCTTGCTAGATTGAATAAACAAAACACTGGGTTTTGAGCTAACACCTTTTCCTTTTGTGTTTTAAGATAACTAGGTTTCATTAAAAAAGTATTTTTCATTAGCCAACATGAGAACAYTCATTGTCCAAACATTTCAGATTAATTTGTCTATTTCTAGGAACTAATTACTGCAGTTAAATTTAAATCCACATCTTTTATAATCAGTCCTTCCTTACATGCCACCTTATACAGCCTCTTAATTAATCACGCTTCTTCAATTCTGCAGCTGTCTCATCTCAGCCTTAGACTCAGGTCATTCACATGTGCAGTCACCTCTCACAGACCCCAGCCAGTGAAGCTAACAATTTCCAATGAAGTTACCACTCATCTTCACTATTGGAGGCACGATTTCACATTAATTTCCCTATTCAGTCAAAATTGCAAACATTCAACCTTGCTCCTGCAATAACAGCCATGCATAATAGCAATTTGTCAACAATAAAATGCAGATTAAATCTGCATGACTTTAMCTGGATTTAACATACCCATCTGGGATCAAAATTATGGCCAAAAATAAGAGGTTCTCGGAGAATACTTACACATTTTAGACTGCACATTTCAGTCCCCTATGAACTGTGGTTTGAGAAATGAGAAGCTACTATTTAAAATGGCACAAATGCACTTTTCTAGAACAGTTTTTTCTTGAAAACTGGTTTATTTCCATATTTATTTATATAGAGAAGATAGGACACTATTACTTGAGTTACTCCCTTTCAGCTTGTTCTTTAGAGGCTAAAGAACACCTCCTGAAATTCAACCCACATTGGTTTTATGCTCAACAAGCAAGAGGACAACGGGAGTTTTCCTGAGTTTGTACCTTTACGAACGAGACAGTAGCTGTGTATTTCCAGAAGAACATCAGTACCGACATGCCAAGCTACAAAGCCAATCATTGCATAGGTGTCCCATGGGTCTGGCAGGTCAAGTGCTGGCAGATCCATTCCCAAGAACATAGTCACCACTATTCAGTAAAAACAAGATTAAAAAAATCCAGTAAGAATATTGCGCCAGCGTGCTTAAAATATGCTCTGAATGCTTTTGTAAATAGATTTCCCATGAATTGCCTAAAACTGCTTGAGGAATGAGGGTAGAGTTAATGCTGCTGAAAGCTGTTGAGGTTTTCTGGGAGGGCATAGGGGACTGTTTGGGTGGGGTTGTTTTGGGCTTGTTTGGTAGTGTGAAGACCAAGACTGGAAAAATGGGGAAAAGGCCAAGATGGTTTTCAACCTGCTTAGTGCCCTACCACATTCCAGCCACACAACCACTAGTATTTGTGATTACCAACAAGACCAGTCAACACAATATTAGTGCTTAGGCTTCCTGTGGAAACTTGCATCCATTAATAGAATTTAATTTAGCTTCTGGGTCTATAAGTGAAATTCTCGCATTAAATGACCTTGAACTATGCTACTGTAAGAACACTATCCTCATATCTTCCAAGACAAAAAAAATTATGAAGATAATAATAGGTCCTCATTACAGAGGTATTTCAGATTTGTTGGTAATTCCTTTGGTTTTAAAGCCACTTTTTCTCTCTGAAGTTGTATCCAATGGCCACTTAAAACACATACAAAAGACAGCCAACAAGAAAAAGGATCTTCAGACATGCCTGGACTGGATGTCTCCACAGGTGCTTTAGATAAACAGCAGCCCAGACAAWGAACAAAGCTCCTTTAAATCAGTTAAATGGCAGTTACAACTATTACTTCTACTCACCAGCTAATATTCTAGCTGTTGTACCAGTACTCCAGTGAAACCAGTTAAACAATTGCCTCCTGCAAAACAGTGAAACACATTTTATTGATTACATATTTGGGGAAGAGGGCAGAAATCAAAGAACATTATTGTGCTCTTTCCAGTTGTAAAAACTTTCCATTGTAAAAAGAATTTTTAAAGAAACAGTCACATTTAATTGCTGAGGCTGTAACTTAATGAAATGTTAATGAGTTGGTTGTACCTTGGTGCATGACGAGATGGTCTGAAACCTGCCATAAGCRGTTGAAAGATTGTCAAAGCCATCACAGTACAGCCAAGATAGGGATGAAAACCTGCTTGCTAAACAGAGGACATTTTTCATAAATATAGTATCTATATAAACASAGATAAGACACAAAAAAGTTGAAAATTTTATTCATTCTTTTATTAGTAAGTTGCAATGGAGMAGCACTGGCAGAGGCAACAGGACACAACAAGCTGCCCTGCAGCCAGATGGAGATTGTTTGCCTTGGTAGCAGACACAGTGGTATGTCTGCCCAGGGTTTGTCCCACCTTTTTGCTGTATTAAGAAATTCTATCAACTGAAGGGGAGACTAATACAACTATAGAAATCATAGTCTGAGCTCTCCAGCCTCAATCCTGTGTCTTCAGGATAGGCCTATTTCATAACTCATCCCAGCACCGGTATTCTCTTACCCAAAAACATTTTTTCAATTCCCTTAATTCACACCCATGACCTTATTCTTCCACCTTGAATCCAGACACTCTGTAGACTTCCCAATTTTTGATGTCACCTTGCAGCAAACAGAACAGGTGACAGCAATTCGTATACAATCTCTATGTAGCTACTGCTCCAAACCAAGCTTATCACTGGATGCAGATACATCTAAGTTCACAAGAACACTTATTCCCAGCAGGTTTACCATGCTGATGTCAGCCATCACATCCTTACTCTCTTCCCAAATTCATATTCTATAAGGAAATAGTAAGACCGAAATAGGACATATAAATAAACTGTGAACATGGAATTTATTTGGGAGAGAGAGGAAGGAAGGAAAACACTGAAATTTTTCAGCTGTAGTTTAAATGAGACAATATTCTTCTTCTGTGCTGCTAGGATTTGACACCAGCCTACTTAAGAACATCTTTCACAGAAATTTGCTTAGAAATAGTCGTAACTTCTTAGTTGCCAATKGACTTCCTCATTCATTTGGTCCCACCTTTAACTTTGAGTTAACAAACAGTACAAAAAGTACACACTTACTTGGCTCCAACCTCCTCGGTATACAAAAGGCAACACAAAAGAAATGCTTGTAAGCATGACTGTGGTCAACATAAGCATACGATGCACCTAGAAAAGTAAAGCCTGCATTTAGAAACTCTACAGCGTTCTTAACACATAAATAAAAGACATTAAATAGACCTTATTGCCTATTTAYCTTACCTCTATTTACCTTACATTATTAAACAGACCAATACAGTTAGAAGATCCTTAGTGCCTGCTTTAAACTACTTTTACTAGTAAACTTCGGGTTTGCAATTGCTCCATTTCATAAGATTTAAGAAAGATGTTTAGTCACACCATGTTTAGTCTATTTCCTGGATCTAGCAGGTTTATAATTCTGCTTACAATAATGCTAGGAAATGCAGCTGGACATATGTAGAGATTTTGCCCACCTGAAACCACAACTCCTTTCCAAAAAGGAATGAATGAGACCAGACGGGTTTGAAGAATCGTGCAACAATAACACCAATACTAACTGTGGTAATCCAAGCAACAAACATTAGTGCTCCTGAAAATTGAAAACAAGCAAACAAAAAACCCAACAAGGTAAATTAGTAATTTAAGTGAATACATCTTCAATGATTATATAATAGTTTAGTCCATATGCATGTGGGTCAGAATGTACAAATGATTACWAACCTATCACCTGGTTCAGGCTACAGCTTTACAGCCTTTCTCTTGCTAGAGGACAGAAACATCCATGCAAAAGATAATCATACTTTGCCCACACATCACCACAGAGCAGCTCTGGATACTGCACATTTCATACATACTAATATACTTGGTACATAGTGGTGAGAGAAGCCATTCTAAACCAACTCAGCCATGAGAKGATGAAATATGCATTGCTACAATCTGTGTGACAAAGAATGCATGACAGCTCTCTCACAGACCTGCATAAAAGTCCAGTTAGTATGGAGAAAAAAYAAACATTAATTTCACTGTCTTCAGACTGCCAGCTGAGTGGTTTCTCATTTCAAATAGAACAAAACCAAAAATGCAACTAGAACAACCAACTTGAAATAGAGAGAAAGAGATAAACARGTCCTAATTATAAATTAAGGGAAAAGGCAAGTGAGGGCTCATTTTTCTGGGAAAAAGAATTTTACAACACTGTTCTTGAAATGAAAAATTATTAGCAACTTCACTCTGCCACAAGAGTWTCAGACCTTGCTAGACAACAGAACATACAACATAAATGCCAAAAAGACAAGACCAATCTGCAATAACTCTCCAGCCCTAGCAAGTCTAGARCTGGAAGACAAAACTAAAAACTGCAGCTTACCATGAGCCTTGATAAGTCGTGGGGACCGGGAACCTCCGATATCCTGAGGAAGACCTGTGACATTGTACAGTCCATCGGTGACCAGGGGCTGACGATGGTGTTTGTGTATTAGTCCACCTGAGCAGTGACATAAAGGGGTTTATTTACCACTAACAAAAGCCACTGCACTTGTAAGTGCGCCCACTCCTTATTCATGAATGCAAGCCCAGTTGTGACTGCAGAGCATAATCATACAAGCTAACACACAATCTGGTAAGAACCTGTCATCTAAGCTATCCTGCACACTTAATGTACAAAACCCAACTCACCCAGCTACAGAAAATGCCTTTCTCCACTACATGCACAAGACATGAAGAATAATTCCCTTTGATGCTAGTTGCCATTTAATAAAAGGATTTAGCCAGTTCTCAAAAAACTACTGGTTCCTATCATCAAGTGAGCACACAACACATAAATGAGCAAATTTGCAACAACTTCCACAAGCAAACCCATGATCCAGAGAAGCAGTAAAGGTGACTGAATTAAACACCTCTAACTTGGAAACCTTAGTTCAGACACCAATTCTCAGCTAAGCTATGTCTTACAGAAGGGTTACTAACTCATTTTAGCTGTTCAAAAAAAAMCAAACATATAAGTCAAGTTTACCTTCACTAGCTTCCCCATCTGCCAGAAAGATGTAATAACTGTTATCCAGATTAAATCTCCCTTTATAAGCAGGGAGATGAATACTCCTTCTGAAAGAACATTGAAGAACACCATCCGCAAGCCTCCATGACACATCTTCAAGGGCATTCTGTAAAACAGGAAGTATTTAATACCTAGTGTTTTCAGATTGGCAAAGTAATTGGCTTTAAAGTAACCCYGCAAAAGACAAGAATTTCATTGATGCAGAAGGAAAGAATATGAATGATCCAGGGAAGGGGGATACCTTCAAATTGGCAGGCAAGAGGTCTGTCAGTAAGCCAACACAGCAAAATACAGGTTGCTATTATCACCAAATTTTACAACTCATAACAATCTTTAACCCAGGATATATCAGTTGCAATTGCAGTTCTAGCAAAGGGACAGAGTAACAACAGGCACAAAGTTTCTAAAGAGAGCAAGCTCCCATCATGTGAATGTTTTTACAAGTTAAATTTAGACTTTCAAAGTTAACATTTACTAGGAAGTGTGAGCCCAGCCACTGTCTCCCTATGAATTATGGAATCCACCTTAGAATTTACACCTGCTGTGCAAAATAAAAGCACAAAGCAGCAGAATATCTTGCTTTAAAGCTACATATGTCAAAGCGTCTGGGTTGATTTCAAACAAACCTCTGAATCCAAGAGAGGATGACTTCGCTCCTTCAGACGGGCAGTGCTTACGTGAACACRGTGATCCTCATTAACACACAGATATGCATCATCACCACCCTGCAGAGTTGAAAAGAAAAATTTCTTTAGCCCAATAAAAACACTACTGGCAGTCTTCAAAAGGTCTTTGATTTAAGATAACAGCTTGATAACTACAAAAATATCTAAGGTGTTGCTGTCCATTATCCATCTATTAAAAACATCAGTATTATTACTGAGGAGCCACATTAAGTCAAAGAGATGACACATAGAAATACGCATTATGATTCACACTCCCYTCCCACAGTAACAACCACATTATCAGAAGTTTCTTTAATTATTTAAGATTTACTAAATTAACTAGACAAGAGAGAGATGGATGTTGAAGCTATTGAAAAATCCACTTCAATTACAAGATTTTTTTTCCTTGACWGCTGTTAAAGAAGTGTTGTTAAGAACTAAATGTTTCTGCACTAGGGATTTGGATATAAACAGCATCTCCTTTGTGCAACAAATAGCTTATGGATTATGCATTTGTCAGCAACATCATCCCTTCATTTTAACACGAAAGTTAGAAAGAAGTACGTTTAAACATTTTTTAAGACTGCATAGGAGTGACATTCAAGGATCAAATGCAAATTATTTTCAACTAACAACTTAGCTTGTCAGAGGTAAGATTTTTTTGGATGGGTAAATAAAAATTGATTTAACCAGGAATTTCAGTCAGACAGGCTGAATTCTGCTGTAACAGTTATTTATAGGAAAATTCTGCTGCAATTAGTCAGTCCTGAGCTATAAGAGACAATCCATCTATAAGAGACAACCTGTGTTTTAGCACTACGGGAGAGTCACATGCTGTGTGACATCTGACAGTATTTCTATTTTCCATATGCATTTTCATTCAAACTTCACTATCATCACAAAAGGAACTATGGAAAATAAAATAGAACACTCACCATCCACTGGTCATGGGACAATGCAAATGCTAAATATCCTTCACTTGGACCACTCATTTCAATAAAAACTGAACTCTCCTCTTGTTGGAAGGATAGAAAAAAACAGGAAGCACTTCCAGGATCACAGTTTGAAGGGTTCCTAATGCAGAACTTCATACTTCCACAACCTGATGCACTAAACTAGACAATTAGACAAACAAACAAATTGTGAGCAATGAAACTTTCCATTCTCTTCCTCCCTTTCTACCCATGGTAGAAAAAAAGCACACAAGGAACAACAATGTCATCTACATCTACACACCAATCTCTTAAACCACATCTACAATTATCCTAGGACTACTAAGTAAAACAATGGTGAACTCCAAGCTACATTTGAGTTAAACTTTCACTTTAAAGACATTACAATAGAATATCTTTGAAACTACAGCAAACACTTCAGAAAAAAAAAACAAACTTCCTTTGGTTTAATATTTGGAGAGGTAATATCAGCTGTAAKATGAAGAGGAAATTAAGGGGACTCCAGCTTTTAGTTTGCTTTTTAAGGTATAAACTCCACTGATAACATAYAAAGAAAATACACTGATAAGTTACAGTTATCCTATATCAAACAGCAATGCTGGCTCAATCCATTCAAACTCAATAATRAAAGTCAGTAACAGATGAATTCAGAGAAGAAAGCAACSATAGGCTCAGAAGCTAAATAGGAAGTGATTAGTAAAGACTAAGTAAGTCTTCTCTCATTTCTCATGACAAGTATGCATAATATTTTCTGACCATTGATTTCTAAATGTTCTGTTAATCTTCTGACCTGTGTGCAGCACAAGAACATTTAACCCCGAGAAGTTCAGGCAACTCAACTAAAACAGAAGAGTAGCTGTCCATGTTCTTAAGTCATATCAAATTTACTCACCCATCATCTCCCCTTTTCTGTTAATAGCCTGTATCAATGTAGTCTCRTTAAACTCCATTCATCACAAGAGAGCTTGATTTAGGTTTATCCTTACTTACTGGCTTTGATATGTAGGAAACTGGGTATGAAGTTGACATAGCCTCTGATATTGCAGGCAAAGATGGTGTTGGGGACAGTGCATCAGGCTGAGAAACAATGGGACCTGGAATCTTTACCCAGAAAATCCTGTATTTCTTCACAACTGTGGCTCTTAAAAAAAACACATAACACACACAGAGTCATTAGTGCATACATTTATAGGTGACTGCCACTTTAAAAAAGGAAAAATAAAAAAGGAAAAATAAATCTAGTGCAAAAAAGTTATTTGTAAAATCTTCATCTTTATGGAGAGCTCTATTATTTTATAAGTAGGATTAAAGTAGGAAAATATCTTAAATCTCAGTAGAAAAAAATAATTTGCAAACATAATACCACATGCAGAGGATATAAGAAACATTCATGCCTATAGCATAGAATAGAACTTCAGAAAAGAGCTGCATTGTTTTTATCCTGCAGTCTGCAAAAAGCTGGTAGTGTAACAGGAGTGTATACATATCATTTGATTAGATACAAGCAAAGAAAAAGATTCTTAACACTGTATATTGCAGGTATGAGAAGTTAACTAGAAAGACTAAAGGAACCCCTCTCCAAATCCCCTTATACTCTCCCTGAAAGAAAAAAGAAAATCACCTTCAAGCTTTCCCTAAAAAACAAATGTCCACATCATCGTAGACTCTGCAGCAAGTAAGGGATGTTGACTTTTCAGGCCATTGGTCCAATGACTTTTCAGTTGCTGGACAATATTTGACACAGACAATGGTACAGGTTTCCCTTGTTTGCATTTTAATAAATTAGAATTGGTACTAGGTTTACTTACAGAAACTGTACATGTTTTGGAGCATCTCCAGGAGCAATCCAATAAACTTTTATGTCTTTCTTTTTTGCTTTACTTGTGTGACTGACAGCTGAATTCTAGAAACAAACACATATCAAGAGTCACACACGGGATATGCATTTTGTTAGTTAACACATTCAGCAGAGGCTGCAACAAAATCCTAAAGAGGCACTGCACTGTTACACTGCATAGCCACAGGGCAACTGATTTTTCCCCAGTCAGTCATGATCAGCTCAGGTGAAGTGCAACACTGCAATTTAGGCATACTAACAAACTTCAAGGCTAAAAGGAATGACTTTCAACCCAAATGATTCCAGCAATGAGACAGAGGTCCCTGTAGCATTTATGCAGAAATTGTGAGGTTTTTTTAGTAAGATAATGCTCCACTTTTTGACAATAAGAGACAGTAAAATGACTTCTTTTAATATTAGGAATACACTACATTCATTGTGGACAAGGGAAAATTCTGTTACAAATGCTGCATCTTCCTGCAGAAGTCAATAGCCTTCTGTCAGTAGGAWAGTTTAAACACCTCATAAGGTCAGTTCAGAGCTGCAGTAAGTCAYGCCTCTATACTTCAAGTTGGACAAATTTTCCAAGAGGCTCACTGAACTCAAATAGGATTACATAGATTAGCTTTGTCCTATTCCTGCATAGTCTAGTACAAAGCCCTCAGTGCCCAATACTTCATTTTAAGGCACTGGACTATACCTTGGTACGACCACACGTCAGAAGCTGAGAACGTCTCCGGTCAGCTAACACAAAAGAACCTATTGCAGGCCTATCCAGGTGTTCTGCATCACGGGCTTGGATGAAAAATCCTTCAAAATCTGGTCCAGAGAGATGAACTGAAGCAAGAAGAAAAATAAAAGAAAGTTTAACTCTACTCCAGAGGAAGAAGGAAATATTTCTATGGCAATGACTACCAGATGCTCATTTCACAAGTACTGAATGATGGTTAATGGATTACCTAAACAAGATTCAATTGCTTAGATAAATCCAGCATAGAAAACTGAAGAAAGGCACACTATAATACAAAGAAATGGTAAATTAAACTCTTCGTTGGAACTGACACAATACCTTCTATGTGGTCCCCTGCTTTAAATTCAGTCCCATTCACTGTAATGGTGTGCTCAGGTGACAGTTGAGGAGAGCTACCATGACAGGGCACCATGCTAGTGCAGGCTTCTCTTACTTTTCCATTTGGATAGCCACCCACAGGTGCACAGAAGCAAACGAACATCCAAACAGCAACAGCAAAATCAGGCAGTTCCATCTGTATTAAAATAACATTTACAGGCACTTACTTACAAAAATATTTACATTACAAGTCACCACTCATCTTTAAAAATGAGTTGAATGGTAAAATACAAAACTGTGTTTAGAAAAAGCCTTCATGAGAAGATACCACTCCCAGCTGCTGAATAACTTCTGCTTCCAATAACTGGTAGACATTGCAGGAATGTTCAAATACTGTATTTCAGGACATCTATGGATTGTTGGTGGATACCTCCATCCACTGGGTGGATTATTTCCTTCCATGCATTTAGATTGCACTTGTAAAATGTCTTTTGCCTATCCCTCTCCTGTTCCCTCTCTCAAAAAAAAATCAMATTCCTTAAACACGGRACAGATGGATCTTAAAGTATGCTTCACAGTGTCTAGAAGTTGACAGTATTGAGGAACTACACAGCTAGTATTAGGCCCACTTTTATTAATCATAGCTTCAACTTTTACATCATTACAGACTGCCATTTCTTTCCACATCCCGTGTCTACTTCTTCACATATGACAAATAATTCCCCAGTAACAAGTTCTTCTTTCTGCAAGAAAACTGAAATTGCCAAATATCAGAAATCAATTTTATATATGCAAGAGTGAGAATTTGGTATGAAGATTTAGACAAAGAAATATGTACGTTTGTTGCAGACAAGCACTAGACTCCTTCTTTGAACTTTTCCTTTTGGATATTGGACCTCCAGACAACTAGTCAAACAATGGGTTACTTGTCACACTCTTGTCAAGGGAATAGTATGCAYGAAAGACATGGGGTAGTAGGACCACAGATCCTCAAAGTTATATGAACTCCTAATCTCAGCTTTCACCATACAGTGTTTTGCTCCACCACAATACTGTTTCTATAAAAGCAGTGATAATTGTTTTGCTACTCAGTAGCATGCAGGGCTTACAGCTGTACTGTGGTTTACAGAATACTTCAACCCACAAAAGAAAGTGTCTCCATATCCAAAAGGCCAGGAAACAGAGATAAACCTTTCAATCCTTAGGTACAAGAAATGAGTTATGAGCTCTAGTGGAACACAGACCAGGCAAGCAGGTCTGTCTTCTGGAAGGGCCATGCCCATTTTGCAGCAGGAGATAAGAAGTATCAGGTTATGAAGTTCCCTGACAGCACGGATGGACAGGAAGATAAGAAACACACWGTCATTTCAGACTGAACTCTTGACACCTAAAAAGCAGTCAAATGCAGAGAAAGGCAAATCATTAGTCTTACACAATAGGAGTCATCAACAGGAACTCCTCCAAAGTTCTCATATATTCAGTGCCAAAAATCCACAATTTCCAAGGCAATGCTATATGTGCACTTCAACATAAGGGCTCCTCAGCAACCTTACATCAATCAAGAGAAGAAAATCAGAGGCAAGAAAGTGTTGAATATTTAGGTTTCAGGAACTAGAAAATAAAAACCCAACACTCAGTTCCTCTCAAATATTCAAGATAACATTATGACCATATCTTCAACTTCTAGTTGTTAAAATATTTCCTTCTAGTTCCAATGCTTCTCCAAACTGTCAAAAGTTTACATCAATGTGATTTTATTCATAACTTAAAGAAGCCTATAGAAAGCTAAAAACTAAGGTTCAGTACAATTATATGTAACAGAGAAATCTTCAAAACAAGAAGAGATAAGRCTGCATAYTGCAGAGRCAAGAAAAAAAATAGGRTAGTATTCCGCTTTAAGTAGCAAAGGATGTGGTAGGGACTGAAATGAAACAAGAAATATTCTTTATCAGATTCAACCAACTCAAAAGCTAGCAGAAGAAAAAGATTAAGTAGAGATTAATATAATTTTCAAAAAAGACCAAAAATATTTGGATTAACAGACATTTGAAAAATATTTGGATTAACAGAGAGCAGCAAGTTACTCCTTCCTGTGTTGAAAACAACTCCTACAGACCCTGCAGGTATCAACATCTAAGAGGGCCCTGGTAGTCTAATAGCTCATAAGCACAATGCTTACACTCCAATACAGGATCTTTTCACACAAATTATCTTCTATCAGCTGTTTATCAGAAGTTAGTCTTCTATTAACTGTTTAACATAAGCTGCATACTGTGAAATTAAAACCTCATTTCAGAGGTGAACAAGAGATAAGACAACAGGCAAGGCAAACATATTGTTAATTCAAARGCACAAAAACTACCACAGRCATTTTCTCCYGAGCACYATCAGACAAGAGGGTAAGCAAAAAAGGAGAGAGCCACCTGAAAGGGAATAAGCTGTATTAATATAAAGGGTTTATGACCCATTCCTTTAGAAATATACCTCAGCAAAGAGAAAGCAGTCTTGCTGTCCAAGAGTCACCTTCCCTCCGAGTTTAAAAAAAAAATTTTAAAAAAAAATTTAAAAAAAAAATAATAAAAAAAAAGCTTGGATTGACTTCTACTGCTTAGTTAAAAGTGGTCATATCACACCAGCTGGATTGAGCAAGGACAAAAAAATTTTAGTGTTGACATTCATAATAATTCATTACTTGTAAAACACATTCACACCCCATGCACACAAAACAACAAAACATACACACCTCAGCATCTCGTTCTTTCTACAAAAGAGAATTTCAAGGGCTTGTGTGTTTCAAAATTACTTTTTATAACAATTTGAGTGAAGGTACTTACCTTACAGCCAGTCCTTCTGTTACAGTGACAAAGTCTGAGTAAAACTGCCATTGGCTCTCTACTTGTAGTAAACTTATATTACTTTGTAATCTCTTCTATTTAGCTTGCATCTAACAGCATTAACCTTCACCGCATCCGGGAAGCATATCTGGAAAAAAAGAAACAATACATACAGAAAAAAACTAAGGTTTGTAAGAGCGTCTTTACTTCAGGCACGTATTTCATACGACTTCCCTACACTTCAGCTGAAATGCATGAAGCAGTAATGAAACACTGACTCTGCAGCTTCCTTTGCTTTGTCACACATTTACTTCCCCAGACCTTAAAGAGTTTGATACTAAGTAATTATTTAATTATCTCCAGGTGCAGTTACGGGAGAAGAGAACCTACAACCAATTTCTGATACCTTCTTCCTCCAAGTATCAGTTGACACAAATTTGCAGCATTATTTTACAGCTCATTATGCATTTATTCCCTATCAAAGAGGCACTTTATTTTAAAACAAGAAGAAACAATCTTAAAAATATGGAAACTTCATCTTTTTTTCCATATATCTCACTAAGAATGAACAGGATGCAAGGATTTTGCCCTGTTCAATTCTTTACTTTAATTATTTTACTTGAGCAGCTGCTCTGCACATTATCTTTAAGGCTCTAATCTTGCAAACTTTTATTTATATGAAGAACATAAAGTCAGAGACTGACCTAAAAAGCCATAGTGTGTTACCCCAACAAGTAAATTCAACTACAGCATGAGCACATTTATTATCAGTTATCATAGAGCCATCTCCTATGCACATTAATGAAAAAAACAAAATAAAAAACTAATAGTCACATAACAAGAAGCAAACAAGATGCCAGAGGAATATGGTTGGTATGGCTCCCAGCTAAAATAAGCCATAGCTTACTTTTACTCATTAAGGCACACAGGTTTAGTTTTCTCTAAAGCAATTCAAAAATATTGCATGACAGGCAGCAGCTACAAGGTACTTTAAAAATGCCACCAGATATTACTTTGCTTCATACCTGCTATAGATGTTCTATTAATCAAATACACTTTCCAAAAAGCTTGTAGCATCCACACTATGAGAACTCACTTGCGTCAGTTTAACCAAAGCAGTGTGGGGCCACAGCAGCTCCTCAGCCTCGCACGCCCTCGCTCCAGGAGCCGCACTCTCCTCTCCAGCACCGCTGCCGAGGAAAAAGGCGGGAGGGGGGGAAAGGTGCGGCTGGGCCAGTCCGCCCCTTGCTCTACTAAAGCCTGCCCCGAGGCAGCGGCGCTTTTCTGGCTGCGGGGGCGGCCCGCATGCGGTGCTGAGGGGCGCGGGAGGGCCGGGGCGGGGCGGGGCGCGGAGCCGCGCCCGGGGAGCCGCCAATCGGCGCGCTGCGAACGCTCCGTGTGCCCGCCCGGAGAGCCGGGGCCCCGCGGGAACGGGTTAGGGCACGGAATTTCTCTGCAGCCTCCCGGGGTGCTGCTCGCCGGGAGCCCCCAGAACCGGGGCCCCGGGGAAAGGGGTTAGGGCACGGATTTCTCTGCAGCCTCCCAAGGTTGGAGGTCTGCATGGCCGTCCTGGTTTTACAACTAGTTTTACTGAGAGATTGTCCTTGTCAAAGCTTGCAGAGCTCATTCGCGATGCTATTCGTGTGCCGAAAGGTGGTCACATATACAGGCTTGCAAAATCAGGCCTTTCTTATCAAGAAAGCAAATAAGTACTGGCTGTAACTGGGGCTTTGTTGGCAGAAACTGCAATTGCTTACACAGRCTTCTCTGACTTTAAAATTCAAGTTCTCAATTGCTGATGAAGTGGCACAAAAATACAATTATTGCATCTTCTTTGTAAAGTGTATTGCAACCGTTGTTAGTGTGTTCATAACAATTCTGTATTTCTTGCAAAGCAGAAGTGTCTGGCTTAACCAAATGAAATAGAGACATAAGAGTGCCGGGGTGTGGGTTTGAATCTTTGTGCAAGCCTGAAGAGATACAGAGCTGTGTAACCTACTACTGACCTGTCTCAGAGGATGAGGATGTCAAGTAGCAAATGCATAACACATTACCTAACATGAAAAGAAGCTGATGAGTCTTCTTGCATAGTATATTATAGGGACTTTAGGAAGTAAGGGAAAGCTTATAATTTTGAAAGCAGTGGCAATGAAGGAGACTTCATTCCAAGTGTATAGAAAAGAATCTCTTTTGTTTAAGAACCGAGGAAATAATTAAGTAAAATATATATCATTTTGGAAATTAACTTTTGTGCAGTCCAACTTCTATACTGATAACTATTCTATTTTTTAAGCCCAAAGCTCTAYGGAAAACAATAAGCCATACAAGCTYGATCTGAARAGAAGCTGTGTTACTATGTRGTTCCTTGTAATCAACTTTCCTCTTAGTTATTAACCTAACTATTCAGCAAAACTGTGGTCTTTTTGAAGGTCAGACCTTGCACAAGTTTCATATACATGTGCATTGGGCTCTGTTACTGGCAAGGTTATGGCCATAAAACATCACTTGAGTTCAAATCAAGTGATGTGCAAAGAGGCTGAATCCCTATCTGATTGTTTTGATGATGGATAACTTGGATCAAATAATTTTTTTGTTACTAGTGTTATCTATTTTGAAATACTGACATGCTTGAAAAAGTGCATTTGGATTTGGCCAAATACATGCTGGATACTGGGCTTTCTCTGAAAGTGGCTGTTCTGGCACCAATATTTACTTACCTCTCTCTTGCATATCCCACACATGCGAGACTATGCGTTTCAAGATTTTTTAAGTTTTCAGCATTTAGGGAAACAATAACAGTATTTTTATCTTAGATGGGAAGAATTCTTCCTGCCAAATCAATTTGCACATGATGGGGTTTCTTCCTCCCAAAGACAGGAGAATGTTGAGTTATTGAAACAATTCTGACCATGAGAAGTCATCATGATGATAAAGTCACAATGTAGRATGAGATGTTGTTCTCCCTAATTAATAATTTCTTTTCCCTTGAGCTTTGGCAGTGTTTCATACTTACCTTTTTTACTAACTAACTGTTAATTTGCAAACTAGGTTAACGTATTCCTCTTATGTTTAGAAATTTCCTTCTACAGTATGCATTCTTGGTTCTTATTTCTCTTTACTAACAAATAATTAATTAATAATTTTTAATTTCTTTTTTATGTCACACATAAAGTTTAAATTCGCAATCGTATTTATACAAAAGTACTTGTTTATCTAGAAGTAAAACGACTTTCAGTTTTCAGTCAATGACTGTAACAAGCCACCTGGTGGCAGTAGCCACTCGAAGTTTGGCAGTCGACTGCACGGGAATTAACTTAATTTTTGCACGTCTATTCTGACACAATAGCTGAAGTACCAGCACCATAGCTTTCTACCAAAACATGTATCCACTTTGACTTAAATAGATTATTTTTTTAAAAATTACTGCCTTGTTTATCTGAAACGAAATAATTAAGACTGGTTCTCTAATGTTGAGACAGATCTGTATAGGTGTTATGATAAAATGACACACAACCTGTCACTTTTTTGAGAGTCTCCACTTAATGTAGTGCACAACACAATTAAATGAATGGATACAGGGCTTCAGTAAAATTATTTCACCCAGTTCAAGTGATGTGGGTCAGTGCTTTATCTGAGGCATACTATTTGAATATTTTATTTAATGAAAGTACTGCATTATTAACCTCATTGAGTTTTCTACATTTTCTGACCATTGCTATCTTTTTTTTTTAATTATTAATTTTATTATATCTGCAAGATGTGATAAGTTTCTATTCTGCTTTACAGGGAGCAAAGAGCTTGCTGGCAAAGGCATTGACCTTTAAGTGCTTCAGTTTAAGGCACTTTAGACCTGATTACAGAATTCATAATGTGAAGCTAAGGTTAAGTGAAATCTTGTAGAGAGCTTTCACACACTTATCAGCTTCTTTGCCAGCCAATCTCAATTCCCCCTTTGCCCMCAGCTTTTTTCCTCTGCTCTTTCACTTGCATCAGGAACTAATTTTCCTACCCTTTTTCATCTCATCTYAGATATCCTTTCACAGACAACCCATTTYTATTTCTTTCACCTTTWCTCAGCAGCTCCTGATTTGACTCCTTCATGGCTTCTAAATGCATTATTTGTTCAGATCCAGAGTGTCTGTGGGTTTTGCAGTTTCTCTGAGTTAAAGCACAAGCAATCCTGCTGGAGGGACGATGCGCAGCACTGTGAGTTGTAGAAATGTTCTTGTTAGTACATGGCCAGTGGCCCTGAGGGAGAATCATGTGGTCACGTTTGAGTATGCTCCATGGGAATGGCTGCAGGGATTTTAGATCTTACTTTAGCAAGTCTCACCTAAATGTCTGCGGAGACTTTCAAAAGCCAATAAACTGGTCAGACAATGACAGAGCTGGTAAAAGGCATATCCAGCATAGGAGAGTTGTGAGAAGAATAAGGGAGAGAAGTTTGTTCTGTACCTGTTTTCAAGTCCTGTAAGCAGCAATCCTGGACTGATAAGCACAGAGGAATGAATATCAAGCAAGGTGTAAAGTGACCCCATCCAGAGATGTTATGGAAAGCTGCCTCCTGCACTGTCAGGTTAGTACATAGTTACTTTGGAAGCTAATCCAAGGATGTTCCAAATTTTCTCAGAAGCAAAATATCAAAGCTGCTCTATTGCATAAGACATTAATTCCTCCAGTGGAAATGGAGAGCCAGTGCTTTGTGCAGAGGTAGGATACTCAAAAAAACTGGGCAGCAGCAGCAGTTTGCCCCAAAGTACAGGACTGATTCCTAGGTCCTGGGTGTTCATACGGGAGCCACTGCCCAGTTAGGGGCAAACTACTTCCTGTCAGTAATCCTAAACTTAAATTTGTGGATAACCAAAAGACATGATTGCATCAATAAGACAAACACTAAATAAGAACTTATATTTTCTGGTAGCATCATTTGGTGATGATTCAACTGTAAATGTTGAAGCAGGTGCTCTGATTGCTGTAGAGCAAAAGGTTTGCCAGTCTGAATTCTAGTTTTRTAGTACTCTAGAGCAAATCACTCTTGTATCATCTTTCCTGTTCTTCCTTCTCATATTTAACATCTTTTAGAAGAAATGCTTGCTGTAGTCATGCATTTGATGAAATATTGTCCTTCTGCAACATGTTACACCATGTTAGGCTGATTAAATTACCCTGGCTTGAATTCTGTCTGCACTGAAAGATAACAGAGCAGGACTACAGTCCTAAATATAAGCTTTCAGATAACATCAGGTAAATATTTCTTTGCTTAAAAAACAAATGTCAAAATTAGAGAACAGAAAAGCACAGTCAGGTGTTTCCCATTTGAACTTAAAGAGCTATCTATGTAAGATTTAAGAATTATTATTTTAATGTACCAGAAAAATATTCATGGTGTTCTCAGTATAGCTTAATATATTAGGAAGGAATCTCATAAATGAGATGGAGTGTGCAAGAGACACTCTGAATATTTATTTTTGAGGAGAAAATATAAAACTGAAGTAGTAGATTTACTTGGTAAGACATTGCTACAGTTCATTTAGGAATAGATACACTGAAGTCTTAAATCTCAGCATATCTCACTAGTGCTCAATGGAACAGTTCACAGGAAGATAAAAGTGTTGGTAGTGGTTCAGCACACTGGTATATGTTCTCTTTCTACAACAAAAATTGGTCAAGCATATGTGAATTTATTTTATACTTAACTAAGTTAAATGGTATAAGAATATAATTCAGATACTTAGTTTTGTTTGTCAAGTCACCATGTTTGCAGTTATTAATATCAAATTAATCTGATGCTGTTAGTTAAAGCACAGTCAAATCTATCTTCAACAATTATGTGAAAAGCTCCCTTTAACAATGTTTATATGGACTCCTTTAAAGATATATGCATTGAAACTTACAAGTTTCTATTAAAAATCAAACTCTATTAAAAATTAACTTTCCATGGAAGTTAGAGCATTGATTGTTTGAGGCCACATAGAGAAGAATGGCCAAAATGGAATAAAAACAAACCAAAAATGTTGCTGCAATCCAAAAATTTGTGATGACACCAGGTTAATCCTTGAAAGGTCAAACCAACATTGCTGAGTAACTACAGGAAAGGCCAGCAAGCACAAAGTAAATAGGTTAGCGTCCTAGCCTCTCCATCTCATACGATTTCTTACTTACATAGACATTTTTTTTTAGTTTATCATTTATTCACTGCCTATCAGGCTCTTGAAATCTGTTTAGACATTTAGATGGGATTTTTTTAAAAAAAGCTATAGGTGATTATGTAAATGTTCTCACCAATGTTTTCACTCAACACTAGATATAAATGTCCAAGAAC